TCTGGAATAAAAGGGAATCATGACATGTCACACATGTCATGTGTCCTTAAGGGGTTAAAGGGACACTATAGTCACCAGAGCAACTACAGCTTAACCCCTTAAGGACAGAGCTTCAAAAGCTTGTCTTTCACTTAATGACAACAGCATTTTTTTTCATTTTTTGCTGTTTGCGTTCAACTGCAATTTGCATTTTACTAATTTGTTGCACCAACACATATTATACATCGTTTTTTAAAGGACAGAAAGGGCTTTAATTTGATGTAACACACATATATATAAATGCTTATTTATTATAAAAAAATACAGAAAAATGTAATAAAAAGGAAAATTTTGTGGGATTCTTTTACAGTAATAATGTGTGCATAATTAGTGCAGGTTAAGGAAAGTAATTAAAAATAAATTCATTTAGTTGTTCTGATTTACAGGATATATAATGTGTCTGAGATTTTAAGTTTTTTTTTGGTAGTTACAGGTCACAAAGCACAAGGAGTAAACTAAACCTTTAATGTGGAGCGATTTTAGAATTTGGTATGTTTGTCTTGTAAGCTTAATAGCCATAAAAGAAAACAAAATTCCCACACAAAGGTATATATTTACATACAGTAGACATCACGGGCTATTTACCTAAGGTTGTTTTGACACTTTCTAAGTAGCCATTTCACTGCCAACCTCTGCTAAATATTGGAGAAAAATTGTGTTTTTTTTGGTTTTTGGCACACAAACTTATAACAAAGAAATTCTCATGTATATTTTGTAAAGTTGGTGTGTGCTATTCCTGTACAAAGTTTTATTTTGGGTTCAGTTACATCTGCTGAGTAAAATGACACCCCCATTGTATGTCTTTTGCACTATTTCGAGAAGTTACAGTGCCATACAGGATACCTGTCCTTTTCAGTATTCACAGTAGAATTTTGAGAGATGGATTTAATGAGCCTTAGCTTCCATTTGGGGTATTATAACAGTTTGACTGTTCAAAAACCCCACACAAAGGCCTACCATTTGTAAAAGTAGACACTCCAGGGTATCTCATAAGGTGCATATTGTGCCTTAACATACCCCCATTTTTTCACCAATATATGCCAAAGTATGTGGTAAAAAATAATTTTGGGCATTTTTTACATACGGATTGCATTTTTGCTGGGCGTTTTGTATATTTCATATGTGCCACTAAGTTCAAACCTCCCAAATTATGCTCAGCTAAGTCTTCTGAGTAAAAAGACACCCCCAATGAATGTCTTTGGCACTATTTCGTGAAGCTACAGTGCCATATAGGAGACCAAGTCATATCTGTTTTTACCAAACTTTGAATTTTGACGCTGGGCCTATGTGCAATTTCCAAGCATCTTTGCAGGTTTTAAATTCAAACTACCCCACAAGGGCCTACCATTTCTTAAAGGTATATTTTGAACCTTAGCGTGGGATCATTTTTCCACTAGCTTGTACCAGTTGTAGTGGTAATAAGCGTTTTTTCTGCCTTTTTGACATACAAAGTTAGTTTGCACAGTATATTTTGCAAACCTTATGTGTGCTACGACTGTATAATACTTCATATGTTGCTCAGATATGTCGGCTGAGTACAGCAATACCCCGTATGTACCTTTGCCGGGTATATGTGGACATCGGAGGGGCACATTTGGGACACAGCCATTCCAGTTTTTTTCAAACTTTAAATTTTTAGGCTGTGCCCATGTCCCATTTTAGAGTATTTTACCAGGCTATATAATCCAAATACCCCATAAAGCCATACCATTTCTTAAAGAAGACATCCAAGGGTATTTCAAAAGGCATATTTTGAACCTTAGCGTGGGATCATTTTTCCGCAAGCTTGTACCAAGTGTAGTGGTAATAAGCATTTTTTCTGCCTTTTTGACATACAAAGTGAGTTTGCGATGTATATTTTGCAAACCTTATGTGTGCTATGACTGTATAATACTTCATATGTTGCTCAGCTATGTCGGCTGAGTACAGCATTGTTGAAGGGGTGCATTTGAGACGCAGCCATTCAGTTTTTTTCTAACTTTGAAGTTTTACGCTGTGTCCATGTTCCAATTTGGAGTAGTTTAGACGGTTGGTTATTGAAACTTCCCACAAACACATACTATTTATTAAAGAATACACCCTGGGGTAATTCAAAAGGCATATTTTGAACCTTGGCGTGGGATAATTTTTTTCTCTAGTTTGTTCCAGGTGTAGTGGTAATGAGCGTTTTTAAAATGTATTTTTTTTTACTTTTTTACTTTTAAAAACTAGTTTTTAAACTTTTGTTTTCCTTATTAATTTTTTTTAAACTTTCCTAAACTTTCTTAAAAACTTTTTTACAGATTTAACATTTTTCTGAGCTTTTTTTTTACCGTTAACCCCTAACTAGCAGTAAGCAGCACTAACAGTAAATTCCCCATTTTCCCATACCTCCCACCCACCCCAGCTAGCAAAATATATAGTTATAAAATATTTTAATTAATTAATTAAATAAATTGAACCCCCTGAGGGTTAAAAAATAAATAAAAGTTAATCTTCAGGGGTTAAAAAAAATTAGATCACAGTATAATACTGTGATCTGTATTTGATCACTGTAGGCAGTGATCGACTGGCAGGGAAGGGGTTAATTTTTATTTGGACTGGGTAAAGGGGGGTGTGTTTTTAATTTTTTACTTAAACGTTATTAAAACTTTTTTTTAAGCTTAATTTTTAACTTTTTAAAGTTTATTTTAAAACTTTTTTAACGTTAACCCCTAGTTAGCCTAACGCCAAATCCCCCTATTCCCCACTAACTTCCACCCACCCCAGCTAGCTAAATATATAATTTTAAAATATTTAAAAAAAAATCAGATCATAGTAAAATGTAATCCCTGCCAATTGATCACTGTAGTCAGTGATCATTTGGCAGGGAAGGGGTTAATTTTTTTATTACAATGGGTAAGGGGGGGTGGGACTTTAAATAATCTTTATTTATTTTCCTAGAGGGGGCAGGATCAGCACTGTTCCGGCTCCCTGCACTTCACACAGAACCAGGAAGTGCAGGGAGCCGGAAGGTAAGTATACAGAGCACATGTGCTCGCTCTGACATGCGGTCAGAGCGAGCACATGTGCTGGGCAGCCGGACCGGGTGCTCCCGGTCTGCCTCTAATACAGAGGCAGACCGGAGCACCATTAACCCCGCGATCGCCGGTTAATTTTACCACGTGACGGACAAAGTCCGTCACCCGTCATTAAGGGTTTCCCCTCTGTGACGGACCTCGTCCGTCACCCGTCCTGAAGGGGTTAATGTAATTGTTCTGGTGAGTATAATTGCTCCCTTCAGGGATTTTCATGTAAACAGGCAGTGTTTACATTGCCCCTAGGGACACCTCCAAGTAGCCACTCCTTAGATGGCCACTGGAGGGGCTTCCTGGCTCAGGGTTGCACAGTAAGCAGCCCTGCCGTTCAGCGTTCCCACGCTCTGCATGGAGATGCAAAATTTTCCTCATAGAGATGCATTGATTCAATGCATCTCTATGAGGAGGTCCTAATTGGCCAAAATGGCATTTGGCCCCACCCCCGTGCTGATTTTAGCCAATCCAATGCTTTCTCTATGGGAAAGCATTGGATTGGCTAAAAATCAGCCATTTTGATGATGTCACAAAGGGGCGGAGTCAGTGCTGGCAGACCCGCGCAGTGCTGGAAAAAAGGTGAGTTTTAAACTTTTATAGGGGGTTTAAGGGGGGGGGGGCAAGCCACCTAAATTCTGGGTTTAGCACTATAGCGTCAGGAATACATGTTTATGTTCCTGACCCTATAGTGATCCTTTAATATTTTATTCATGCTTACAGTATTATTCCGTTCCATATGGGGCTATTCAGACTGCAAAATCCAAACATTTAGCAATAAGTCTGGATTTTGCAAAACAGTCTTGTTTTACACTCCTTCCTTTGAAATGTGTGACAACTGGGGCTATAATATAGATGTAATGTGCAGACATGGGCGGATTGTTAATGCTATTAAATAAACCGCTAGGGGTCATGCCATTATTTATTTCACTTGGACCCAGCAATTCATGGGCATCAAGTCAGAAGGTATCAGGGGTGGACTGACAGTGCCTCGGGCCCCCGGGCAAAACTAGGACCCGGGCCCCTTACAGATTAATATATATGCTGGTACACATGATAGTGTAGATGTACCGTGTATTTGATTATATGTGCATGTAAAGTGAATGCACACTATTCACTGTGAGCCCTGGTGTAAGCTAATATATGTATTTATATGTGTATTTTTGTGTGTTGTATCAGGATCCGTGGATTCAGAGTATGGTTTTTTTAGGATAGTATTTGATGAAGGGGTGTGGGGGCGATGAAGGGGTGTGATGATGAGGTGGGGGTGATGAAGTGTAGGGGAGATGAAGGGGTGTAGGGGAGATGAAGAGGTGGGGGAGATGAAGGGGTGTAGGGGGTGGGGTGATGAAGGGTGTGGGGGAGAAGGTGGGGGGGGAGAGGAAGGTGTGGAGGGAGATGAAGGTGAGATGAAGGGAAGGGTGGGGCTAATGAAGGGGTGTGGGGTGATGTGAAGGGGTGGGGTGGTGAAGGAGGGTGAAGGGGTGTAATGGGTGATGAAGGGTGGGGGAGATGAAGGGGTGTATGGGGAGATAAAGGGTTGATGAAGGGGTGTGGGTGATGAAGGGGTGGTGAAGGGGTGTGGGATGAAGGGGGTGATGAAGGGGTGTGGGGGTGATGAAGGGGTGGTGAAGGAGTGTGGGGTGATGAATGGGTGTAGGGGAGATGAAGGGGTGTAGAGGAAGATGAAGGGGTGTAGAGGAAGATGAAGGGGTGTAGGGGGAGATAAAGGGTTGATGAAGGGATGTGGGGGTGATGAAGGGGTGGTGAAGGGGTGTGGGGTGGTGAAGGGGTGTGGAGGTGATGAAAGGGTGTAGGGGGAGGTGAAGGGGTGTGGGGGTGATGAGGGGTAGGTGGGTGGAGGGGGTGGAGACATAAGAGCTGTGGGGAAAAAAAAAGTTAAATAATGTGTTCCCCCCTCCCTGAGCCTTACCTTTGTCCGTGGAGGGGGGAATCTTTATCCCTGGTGGTCCGGTGGCAGAATAAGCTTGTTTGCACCCCTGGTGGGTGCAGCCAATCCTGAAGAGCTCCCTCCCTGGCCGGCCATGGTAGTGCAGCGGGGTCAGGCTGCCTGTAACACTGATAGAGCAGCTCCGCATAGGGCTGCTCAGTTACAGACAGCCTGCATGCTGTGTTCAGCTCACGGCAGAGGCTCTGCTCCTGGAGCCTCTGCCGATTTTTTTTTCCAGCAGCACTTTCGGACAGGCACAGTGAGAGACAGCCTGGAGGGTCTTTGATAAGGCCCCTGGGCTGTCTCTCAGGGTGCTACAAGCTCTCTGCTGCGGCTGACCAAGGGGGTAAGTATTTAATAACAGGGGCCCGCAGAGGGTCGTGCGGGCCCCTCACTTAGTGCAGGCTGGCTGGGGAGCTTGTTGAGCTCCTCAGCTGAGCCATTACAATGCTGCAGGCAGGCGGGCCCCCAAGAGCCTCGGGCCCTCGGTCCATGACCGATGTGCCTGAGTGCTCAGTCCGCCCCTGGAAGGTATTAATCTAATGGGAACTATAAGAAACGTCTGACCTCTGTGATTGCCAACAAGGGTTTTGCCTCTAAGTACTAAGTCAGAGGTGTCAAAAACTTATTTCACTCATTGGCATGCAAATCAATTTATAACTTTTTTGACATGCGTTTTTCACGATTTTTTTTTATTATTCTGTCTCTCAATGTTAAAATACACCTACCATTAGAATTATAGACTGATCATTTCTTTGCGGGTGGGCAAACATCCAAAATCAACAGGGGATCAAATACTTTTTCCCTCACTGTATATGTTTGTGTTCGTTGAATTATATTTTTTAAATAATGTAAAAAATTTCACTTTTTTTTTATTAGGCTGAGCAGCCCTATTATGTCAGACTCTACTGTTATCTCACTAACTGCTTAACCTAACTTTCCTGCTACGGAAGTTTCACACAGAGCAATCACCGCAGCAAAGTTGAATTAAACAGGAGTTGGTCAGTTAACAGCAGAGTCTGACACAGAGGTTTATCTAGGATATTTGCCACATGGGCAGTTTTCTGTTTTGGAACACACTCTTGATACTTCAAGCACCATGGCCACCATGGCTTACTGTAGTGGCTATGGTGCAAGGAAGCTCTGGGTTTCAAAGCACAATACTATGCCTATTCTGTCTTTTCAGACTCACTCTTTGTCTGTCCAAGCTCACACCAATATTTAATCCACGTGGGGCAAACGGGGCCTTCTGCCTGCAACAATTTATTTTAGGATCGCCGATCAACGCTCGGATGAAGTACCTAATACCGAGTGCCACTCAGGTGGGAGGTGAAGAATAGGGGAGTGCAGAGCAAGAGCCTATGACTATTAACAGCACCAGCCAGCCATTGGACCCCAGGCAAGCCACCTAAAAGGTAGGAAACAGGAGGGTGGCTAAAAAAATGTACATTTTGCATGTCTGTATATGTACTTGTGTGTCTGTATGTGACTATGTGTGTCTGAATGTGAATATATGTTTCTGCATGTGTGTATGTGAATCTGTGTGGTTGTATATGTATCTGTGTGTCTGTTAGTGAATATGTGTATATGTATCTGTGTCTGCATTTGTAACAGTGTGTCTGTGTGTAAATATGTGTCTGTATGTGTATAAGTATGTGCATATGTGTGTGTATATGTGTATGTGTATTTGTCTGTCTATTTGTGTATCTGTGTCTCTGTATTTGAATGTGTGTGTCTGTGTATCTGCATGTGTCTGTCAGTGTATCTGTTTATCTGTGTATATCTGTGTGTCTGTATGTGTATCCTTCTTTGGGTCTATATGTGTTTCTGTGTGTCTGCATGTTTATCTGTGTAGGTGAATCTGTGTGTTAGTGTATCTGTATCTAGTTGTGTGTTTGTGTATCTGTTTGAGCGTCTTTCTATAGTAGTGTCTATGTATCTGCATGTGTGTCCTTGTATGCCCTTGTCTATCAGTGTTTGTATTTTTATATGTGTAATTCTGTGTTGTTTTTTTGGGTGGGGCGGGGGATGGGTGTTGGTATGAAGGGTGTGACTGCATGCTAGGGACTGAGGGGGGTCAGGGTCCAGGGGGCCCAAGCAAATGCTTGCCCAATCAATATTAAGGATGGCCCTAAACCCACATTTGCTGTTCTAAACAACCATTTTCATTCTGTTCTCCATCAAATCTTTCATTCTCTGTTTACCCACTTTTTCAGTCTGTCCTCCCCCATTCTATGTTTGTCCACATGGCTGGTGCAAGACTATTTTGAGCCCTACACAAGACCAGCTACTTGCACCCCTAACATAAAGCAAAATTGCATACTTTGTGTGTCTCTTTCTTCCCCAACTGCTTTGTGTTTATTTTCCCCCTTCCCCTCTGTGTGTCTTCCCCCCAGCACCTTTATGTGTCTCTTCCACCCAGACCCTCTGTGTGTCTTTGTCCCCCCATCCCCTACTGTGTCTCATTCTCCCTCAGCCCTGTGTCTCTTTGTGCTCCCCACCCCCTCTGTGTGTTTTTGTCCCCCTAGCCCCTCTTTGTATCTGTGTCTCCTTGTCCCATCAGCCCCTCTGTGTATCTCTTTGCACCCACATGCCCTCTGTCTCTTTGTCCCCCCACGCCCTCTGTGTGTCTCTTTATCATACCTCATCTCCCCCCCCCTCTTTTGTCCTTGTTTCCGGACAGTAAAGGTTAAAAGAGTGGGAGGGATTGATAAAAAGGTAATGTCATGACCTGTGACATAACTGCTTCAAAGTGGCAATGGTTGGGATGGGGGCATGAGGAGGTGGGTGGGGTGCTTGAGTGACAGTTTTCCTTTAAAGTAATCTCTGTAATAGAATACAGTCCTTGTTTATAGCTCGGTAAATCAACTTGGTAGTTATCCAGGTAGTATAGTGCGCAATAACTTATTTTTCTTTTAATTTTATTGTATGTATAGGGGCTGATGTGATGTGTATGAGTAGTGGGGGATTGTGTGCAGGGTTTTATTTTGTATGTTTAAAGTTATCCAGCTGGGCCAATAAAGTAGCAAACATGGAAGAAGAAAATTCAATGTAAAATAAAGAAATCCTGTAAGAAAACTGCACTGTCACCATGTTATACACTTATGTATGCCAGTCTTAGTGTAGTTAGTGCAACTTTTATAGCCATAGCATGTGCTTGTTTATTGCTGATTCATTTATACAAGGCATTATACCATGCAGAGCCTGCACTGTGTCTGTATCTCAGGCTGCACTGTGTCTGTATACCAGGCTGCACTGTGTCTGTATACCGGGCTGCACTGTGTCTGTATACCGGGCTGCACAGTGTCTGTATACCGGGCTGCACTGTGTCTGTATACCGGGCTGCACTGTGTCTGTATACTGCACTGGGCTGCACTGTGTCTGTGTATACCGGGCTGCTGCATACTGTGTCTGTATACCGGCCTGCACTGTGTCTGTATACCGGCCTGCACTGTGTGTCTGTATACCGGGCTGTCTGTATACCGGGCTGTGTCTGTATACCGGGCTGCACTGTGTCTGTATACCGGGCTGCACAGTGTCTGTATACCGGGCTGCACAGTGTCTGTATACCGGGCTGCCCTGTGTCTGTATACCGGGCTGCACTGTGTCTGTATACCGGGCTGCACTGTGTCTGTATACCGGGCTGCACTGTGTCTGTATACCGGGCTGCACAGTGTCTGTATACCGGGCTGCACTGTGTCTGTATACCGGGCTGCCCTGTGTCTGTATACCGGGCTGCACAGTGTCTGTATACCGGGCTGCACAGTGTCTGTATACCGGGCTGCACCTGTGTCTGTATACCGGGCTGCACTGTGTCTGTATACCGGGCTGCACTGTGTCTGTATACCGGGCTGCACTGTGTCTGTATACCGGGCTGCACAGTGTCTGTATACCGGCCTGCACTGTGTCTGTATACCGGGCTGCACTGTGTCTGTATACCGGGCTGCACTGTGTCTGTATACCGGGCTGCACTGTGTCTGTATACCGGGCTGCACTGTGTCTGTATACCGGGCTGCCCTGTGTCTGTATACCGGGCTGCACTGTGTCTGTATACCGGGCTGCACTGTGTCTGTATACCGGGCTGCACTGTGTCTGTATACCGGGCTGCACAGTGTCTGTATACCGGGCTGCCCTGTGTCTGTATACCGGGCTGCACTGTGTCTGTATACCGGGCTGCACTGTGTCTGTATACCGGGCTGCACTGTGTCTGTATACCGGGCTGCACTGTGTCTGTATACCGGGCTGCACAGTGTCTGTATACCGGGCTGCACTGTGTCTGTATACCGGGCTGCCCTGTGTCTGTATACCGGGCTGCACTGTGTCTGTATACCGGGCTGCACTGTGTCTGTATACCGGGCTGCACTGTGTCTGTATACCGGGCTGCACAGTCTCTGTATACCGGCCCGCCCTGTGTCTGTATACCGGCCCGCCCTGTGTCTGTATACCGGCCCGCCCTGTGTCTGTATTCCGGGCTGCACTGTGTCTGTATACCGGGCTGCACTGTGTCTGTATACCGGGCTGCACTGTGTCTGTATACCGGGCTGCACAGTGTCTGTATACCGGGCTGCCCTGTGTCTGTATACCGGGCTGCACTGTGTCTGTATACCGGGCTGCACTGTGTCTGTATACCGGGCTGCACTGTGTCTGTATACCGGGCTGCACTGTGTCTGTATACCGGGCTGCACTGTGTCTGTATACCGGGCTGCACTGTGTCTGTATACCGGGCTGCACTGTGTCTGTATACCGGGCTGCACAGTGTCTGTATACCGGGCTGCACTGTGTCTGTATACCGGGCTGCACTGTGTCTGTATACCGGGCTGCACTGTGTCTGTATACCGGGCTGCACTGTGTCTGTATACCGGGCTGCACTGTGTCTGTATACCGGGCTGCACTGTGTCTGTATACCGGGCTGCACTGTGTCTGTATACCGGGCTGCACTGTGTCTGTATACCGGGCTGCACTGTGTCTGTATACCGGGCTGCACTGTGTCTGTATTCCGGGCTGCACTGTCTCTGTATACCGGCCCGCACTGTGTCTGTATACCGGCCTGCACAGTGTCTGTATACCGGGCTGCACTGTGTCTGTATTCCGGGCTGCACTGTCTCTGTATACCGGCCCGCACTGTGTCTGTATTCCGGGCTGCACTGTCTCTGTATACAGGGCTGCACGGTGTCTGCTTAGGACACTGCGAGCGGCAGCTATGGGGTTAACCCCGCCCCCTCTCCACACACAGGTTGCCAGAGCAGTAAAACTGCCAAGTCATGGCGGGGAGTGACGCAATGCTCCGCCCCCCGGCACTGGGAGACTGTGAGCGCCTGCTTGCTATCCGCGGCTGCAGTCAGTGTCTCGCGCTCAGCCTGCCCTGTGTGAGGACCAGGAAGGAGCGGGTGACAGACTGGAGATCACGTGACCGGCGCAGCTTCCCCTGCAGAGGAGAGCGCTGTATGACAGGCGCGCGGGAGAAGCGGAGTCTCGTGCGTCACTGTTCGGCCGCCTCGTTATACCGCTCCATCCCGCCTCGCTATACCGCTCCATCCCGCGCGCTGCCCCCCCCTGTCACCGCGGGCCGCTCGCTCCGTCTGTTACGGACACACAGGAAGTAAAGGGCAGCGGCGGCCATGGGTCTGCTCTCTCACGGCTCCCCGCTCAGCTGGGAAGAGACCAAGAAATACGCCGACCATGTCCGGCAACACGGCGTGCTGCAATTCCTGCACATCTACAACCGGGTCAAAGAGCGACAGAAAGATGTCCTCAAATGGGGGGACGAGGTGAGACACTGCGCATAGCGCTGCCACCGCACTGCGCATAGCGCTGCCACCGCACTGCGCATAGCGCTGCCACCGCACTGCGCATAGCGCTGCCACCGCACTGCGCATAGCGCTGCCACCGCACTGCGCATAGCGCTGCCACCGCACTGCGTTGCCGCACGTAGCGATGCGCTGCTGCACAACATATAGTGCTGCACCATGTGCGCACTGCGCTGCACCTAGTGCGCACGTTACCCCCATGATGGCATACCATTTGCAAAAGTACACTACCCAAGGTATTGCAAACAGGGTATGTCCAGTCTTTTTAGTAACCACTTGGTCACAAACACTGGCCAAAGTTAGCGTTAATATTTGTTTGCGTGTAAAAAATGCAAAAAACAAATATAAACGCCAATTTTGGCCAGTGTTTGTGACTAAGTGGTTACTAAAAAAAAGACTGGACATACCCCATTTGCAATACCCTGGGTAGTGTACTTTTGCAAATGGTATGCCATCATGGAGGTAATTCTTATTCCTGGCCTACTATACGGTCTCAAAGGCAACTTAAACAATCTGGCAAATTTCAATGTGAAAAAACTGAAACACAAGCTTTATATTTGACTCTCTAACTTCACATAAAACCTGTACATGAGGGGTACTGTATACTCGGGAGAGTTCGCTGAACACAAATATTAGTGTTTCAAAACCATAAAATGTATCACAACAATTATATCGTCTGTGTAAGTGCCGTCTGTGTGTGAAAAATGAAAAAAACTACAACTATTGTTGTAGTACATTTAATGGTTTTGAAACACTAATATTTGTGTTCAGTGAAGTCTCCCGAGTAAAACAGTACCCTCTATGTACAGGTTTTATGGTGTCTTGGAAATTTACAGGGTTAAATACAGTGCTAGCAAATTCAATTCTCTGGACTTTCTTCCTGGGTTATCAGGCAGGTCCTGCAAATTGTAATAAATAAAATGACTTAAATATTTTATATATATATATAATATATATTGTGTTTATATAAATATATTTCGTTCTATGTGTATTTTGATATCAATATTCATGATCAAAATACAGTTAGAATGAAACTACTTTTTCATTTTTACATTTTTTATATATTTTATAATATATAATTTGTATTACAATACACTGTGTGTGAGATATATATTTATGTAAAAATTTTTTTATTTTTTTTATTTTACACTGTTTGAACTTAATTTCAGGCAGTCGCACTGCTATGGACGGCTATTCCGTTCATGTGATCCTGAGGGCCGGATCAGACGCAGTGGGACTGCCTGGGATGCCAGGCAAGTGTCCCCCCCGCCCGCCGGTGTTTAGAGCCAGGTCCCCAAGGACGTCATAGCACGCCCGCCATCTTTAAGGGGTTAATCAGAGTTTTGTCATCAGTTGTTGATTTAAGCCTGCTTTTTAATCTTCGCACATACCTGGGAATTCATTTAATAGCTTTATTCTTTAAATTTCTAATTGTAGTTAATTGTAACCCAAATGGCACAACTAGGCTAAAATTAGATAACTATGAGTATAGCTGCATGAATTGCCTTCTCCCAGATTGACTATTAGCCTACATTTTATGATTTAATTTACAATTCATTATAGTTAGGAGTTTACAGAATAAATCCTTTAGTATTTTATATGAAACTTAAAGCTTTTCCTGACTTTATTGCAGTACTTTTTTGTTAATGTGCTAAAGTGAAAATGTTAAATTTAAAGGAAAGTTCTAGTGTCAGAAATACAAATATATTGACAGTACAGTGTAGGTATTGCCATTTAGGCCCACCTCTCCATGGAGACTAATGGTGATTTTACTCACCTTTTTTCCAACGTCGCACCAATCTTGCTGCAGCTGGTCATTGATGATCTCAGCCAATCCAATGCTTTCCTACAGGCTATTGCGCATGCGTGGCAAAATTACGTACTGCGCCAGTCGGCATCCCCATTAATCAATGCATCTCTATGTGGAATTTTTAGCAACTCCATGCAGAGCGTTGGGACGCTGAATGCCAGTGCTGCGCCCAGGAAACACCTCTAGTGGCTGTTTGAGTGATTGCCGCTAGAGTAGTAACTAGTCATCAATGTAAACAGTCTTTTCTCTGCATTACTAGGCTTCAGGTATGGGCTCTAGATACCAGAACCATAACATTAAGCTATAGTAGTTCTGGTGACTATAGTGTCCCTTTAATGCCAGAGTACCCAAACTGAAAGCATAGCTATCTTGGACAATTTTTCAAGTTTTGTTATTTTAAAAATCATCATTGAATGCTTACATTGGTGAATAACCTGGTTTGTGAAAAGTAATCAAATAGTAACAATTACTACAAAATGCTTCCATGAAATTTTGTCCCAAGACATATAGGGAGTAGGGGGGAGGTTGGTGTCAGGATTTTCGTTTCACCTCATAGTTGTATTTCAGTTGACTGGTATGTAATCCATTATATTATTGGATTGATGGATCTAATGTGCTCAGTAGCTGTTTGAGCTGTTGTATATGTAGCATTTGTACCTTCTTTGAACCTGTGATTTTGTTTTTTTCCCCCCACATAGAATATTTTTTTTTTTTTTTTTTTTAAATATGGATAGTGTCAGTACCTATATTGGGGATCTTCCTCCTAAGGACAGGCAGCTTTTTACACCTAAAACTTTAATGGAAACGTTTGGCCCACCCCAACTTCACCTGCTTATCGGTATAAAAGAGACTGATCCACAGTTTTGTTTTTCCTCTTAAGGGACAAACTATAGTTGGCATTTCCCCCTTTTTAAACTTCAATCCGGCAAGAGGTGAAGCTATTGTGTTTCTAGGACTTTTGCAGTCCAGAGGCATTGGTATGCTGGGGAGTTGCTATACCTGATCTATGTAATTATTTTTATTGTTTTTTCCCCATTGAGGATTGGTTGGAAGGCACGTGGAAAGTGTATGTTAGAGTCTTATGGGCCTTTTTACCTGTTCTTCTCCTTTCTACCATATACCGCAAATGAAAGTGGATCCTGTTGCAAACTGGAGAAAGCTTAGTTTGCAACGCAATGTGTAGTAGTGTTGCGTTCCACTGGTAATGTTACTATATGCCTGCGCAATGGCATAGAGGAGCTCTGCAACCATTTTCAGCTAATTGTAATCTCATAGAACAGTGGTTCCCAACCCAGTCCTCAAATACCCCCTAACAGTACAGGATTTTGGGATTTACCCTGTTGTATATAAGGTGTTTTTAGAAAAAGGAAAAAACATTTTAGACACAATAGGGTAATCCCTATATCCTGGACTTGTAGGGGTTACTTGTTGACTGGGTTGGGAAAATGTAAATAGCCATATGAGGGCTGTAAGACTCCTAATATAGCCTTCATGCCACAAATGCCATCGCCTTTCGCACTGTGTACTTAAGAGTTGGCTTTAAGGCGAGAAAATAATTTTTTTAGTTGCCTCTGGGGATTCCAGGCCTATTGTCGTTACTTTTTTTTTTTTTTTTTTACCTAACCACTGGAAAAACAGGTATCTCCCGATAAGCCTTAAAAAAGGGTCATAAGACCTGGTTAAAAAGATTTGTCTTGTTCTGTATGCAATATTCCTTTACATAATGAATGTAAAAGAAAGCAGTTCAGGGCTTGTTTGAAATAATTTGCTGAAGCAGAAAAAAGATTCAATGTTTTGAGTTGGTTCCTGCAAAGTTTACAAAGACATCTCAAGATGTTAAATCTGCTACCCTGCAAAATTTGGTATCACAATTAGATTTGGCAGAATATTCTGTGGTTAACTTTAAACTTATTAAAGAGATCACCTATGGAGGGATAAGAGGAGGAAAGTTCTCAAAAGTAAAAGGTTTTCCCTTGTAAATTTTAGGAAATTATGAACCGTGAATGGAAAAATCCAGAGAAGAGAGTGGATCTTCTAAACATTTTAGAAGATAATTCCTTTGGGATAATGCTTCAAGTTGATGTTTGAGTGGCTTAGTTGGGAAATAAGACTTTAATTCCTACTGGTTGTACAGCAAGTATAAAAAAATCCAACGTACTAAAAAAAAAAAATCAAATTTCTTTGAGGTTGTTTTTTTTTTTTTATCTTTTCCATTTTTGAAAAATCAGCATCACAGTTTTAAAAGTCTTGCCTACAGGTTCTTTGATTACCAGGGTACAAAGAATTTGGCTGGAGAATTTAAAGGAGCCTTTATCAAAAAATGAAGATCTAGTTAAATTTTTACCCAATGTGAAATTAACTTCAGATTTGCTCTGTGGCACTACAGCCGAAAGTGTTTAGCAGCCAGAAATGAGTTTGACTACTATGGGAAGAAGAGTTATCTGACTTCGTTCCTGGTCAGCAGATGCTCCTTCAAAATTATCCGTATTTGATTTACTGTTTGAGGAAGCATGTCTCTTTGGTTCACCCTTACTTCTTTTCAAATCTATGGTGGAAGGAAGGAAGGAAAGTGTTACCACAGTATGGTAAGAAAAGGTTTTTGTTATTCATTAGACCCTGGAGAGATTCATCCTTTCAAAGAAAATATTCAGGTAACCACATAATTAAACTTTGGTTGAAAAGAATAAAGACAAGAAGGGGGCAGGGCCCAACTGACATGCCAGACAGACTCATCTTGTATGAGCTCCAGCACATAATCTATTGAGAGCAGCTATTTTTGCAGGTTGTACCCCCATTAAAGGTTTCTAGCTGCTCCTGTGGCGCCAAACAGACTGTAATGATCCTGAAGCGCGTTGTCTTGGGTGTCCACGCTGCTGGAGGATTGTTAGCTGGCTCCTGACCACACTGCTGTTGGTGCCCCAATTCCCCCCTCTCTTGGTCCGGTGAGGGTTATCCCGGTCCACTCCATGGAGGGTTCCTTATTTGTCAGTGGACGTGCGGCAAAACCGCTACACAAGCAAAAGGCACCCAATAGCTCCTTCCGATCCCTGCACAGGTGCCTGCAATGTCCTGCATAACTTGACAAGACTATTGGAGACCTTTTGGGAGAGGCTGAAGGCACGCCTGCACCCGATGTGCTGAGAGCCCGCGGAATATGCCAAAGGAGAGAACTCTTCATTATACTCTGGCCCAAATGGTGCAAAAATACAGACTGAGACCCAGTTTGGAGCAGGGCAGCACAAGGAAAGGAGGTGTAGCGTCCGTGGAGTGTCTGTCTGTGCTCAGCCCGAGCAAGGCATAGGCTGAGTCCAGGAATACCCTGCCGTGCTTCTACTGATACTACTTTCAAAGCAGTTTAGTTTATTTTTATACCTCCTTGTAGGGTTTTCTTTTCTGCCAGTTTAGGGGGGCCTCCTGAAGGTATTTACTTGTAACTAAGCTTTTTTTATATTCTTTACAGAACTGTATTGTCTCTACTAATATTCTTCATATCTAGTTTGGCCCACATACCTACTGGCTTGGCTATTAAGTGTTTAGGCATGTGCACTTAGCCTGAAAATGTTACATTAGTAAGAGTACAGTTTTCTTCCTGTCTTTTATAATTTGTGCGGTTTACCGGATATGTTTAGGTTGAAATATTGGTTACTTCTCCTGTCAATTAGCAACGTCATGATTACCAATATGTTCTTTTCAGGTACAACAAAAATAATAATAATAAAAAATAAATTTAAAAGAGACAAACCTTACAGACCTAGCAAACAAGAAAAATGTTGATGCCAGGCCTGTGAGAGGCAGATACTCCTAGTTGCTGAACACTTGGAAAAAGACCATTTCACATCATTGCGTTTTAAGAATCATCATTGAATCTGCTGCAAAATTAGAATTTTATTTAATTCCTTCTCAAAACTTTCTCAGACATTCTCTCACAAAGATCTAGAAGAAAAACATGTCATGCAACTCTGAGAAAAGGAAGTTTATAGAGGAAATTTCAGGTCATAAGACATTTGTGAGAGAGTACTCAAGACCTTTCCTAGTAAAGAAATCAGACAGATCTTCCGACCCATATTAGCTTTAAAGGGGGAAAAAATTGTTACATTTTGAAAAAGAAATTCAGATTGGATACCATTGTGTCAATTCGTCTATAGAGGTAACTCTGTACCATCTCAGGATTTAAAGGATGCATATCTTCACATAACAATATCAGCAAAATGTTTAAAGGAACACTGTAGGTACCTAGACCACTTCAGCCCATTGAAGTGGTTTGGGTGCAAACTCCCATCACACTTAACCCTGAGCATGTAATATTGACCTGCTTGGGTTAACTCCTCCTCTAGTGGCTGTGTACCTGACAGCCACTAGAGAGACCTCCAGGTGCTTAAGTGACTTTTGGTCGTAAACTTCCAGCGTTGCCGGAATCCTCATAGGAAAGCATATAATGCTTTCCTATGGTAAGATCCTTATGCGAGCGCGGCCATTGCCGTGCATGCACATTAGGTCTTCCCCGGCAGGGGAGGAGCGTGGGCAGAGCTGAGTCAGCGCCGAGGGACTTCAGGACTGGGCCCAGGTAAGTGAAAGAAGTGGTTAATACCTTCTGCACCATAGGGGTGAACCTTGACAGAAGGGGAAGCTACGGTGCTAGGAAGCAGTTTGTTTTCCTGTCACTATAGTTTGCCAAAAGGAAAAACAAGGCAATTCTGTATTATCAGTTCATAGCTCTATTTTGGCCAAAGATGTTAGTAGTTCTAACAGCAGCTTTAAGAGAAAAAGGAATTTACATTGTTCATTACCTGGGCTACTGGCTTCTTACGGCAAGATCAGTACAGTGTTTAAAAGAAAACCATCTTTACAGTATCCTCATTTTTATAAACCGAAACATCTCATCCAACTCCTACATAATGTTTTTCTTGTTAATCTTAATAGACAAAAGATACATGAAACTACTTCCTCAAGTCAAACCAAACAATATAAAGACAGAATTGTGCTGCAGGAAAACTTGCTCAGTCAGACAAGCCATCAGTGTACTAGGTTTGTTAACTTCTCTAGATTTCATCCAGTTTTTGTCATTCACAAAAATTCAACTCCTCTGGGTAATGATGCAATTTCTGCATACAGGCTTATAAAGAGAGGAATTATTTGTCATGTGGGATGCATTGAAACTTGATTGGGGTGCTCACCATCTACAGATCCATGGCAAGAGGGATTTGTAATTTTGAGGATTGCTTCTTGTCCTCTTGATTACAGAGCATTAAAATCAGTCTTGAAAGGCTCTCCAAATATTTTGTCAGTTTTGTTCAGACAGTGCAACTACAGTGACATACATAAACAAGTAGGCACAGTATGCACTTGATTACTAACACTATGTATAAGGATTATATTGGCGTTAACGCTATTCACATAAAAGCCTCAGAATTCTCTGGTACGGGAAAGATATATATATATATGGTCACTGGTAAGAACTTTTCACGAGAACCTGTCTAGTTAGGATTCCCAAAATTGTGGGGTTTTTTTTTTTTTTTTGGGCTCCATATGTGAACAAGAAAACACACATTTGCTTCTTAATGCAAAAAAAAAAAAAAGGGGGAATCCCACGCTTCCTAAAACATTCAGTGGTTCTTTCACCTTGTCTCCATGTCTTTCCCCTCTCATATTAATTCCAAAGATTTTTAGATAAGATTATATGACAATAGTTATTGCCATAATCTTTTCTAGGCAGGGAGAACAGAACTCCAACAGTTCTATATATCATCACCGTATCTGGAGAAAGTTATTTTATTGGTGCAAGTCTTTAAATATTGATCACTTACATGCCTCAATTCAAAGTATTTTGGAGGTTTGGGATTTAGTTTTTGGGTTTTTTAATTTTGTTTAATTTATTTTTTGGCCAGCCATAAGATTTGTTGGTTATCGAGGCTTGAACTTGGGTTCTCTCTCATTAGGTTAAGCTCGTTTGAACCTCTTCAGGTTTCTCTCCATATTTTAACATTCAAGGGAAATTTTCTGGTGGACGTTACATCCACGAAGCGTTTGGGAGAATTCAGGCTTTAGGAGATTTGTCTCCTTATTTTATCTACCATGTCTTCAAAGTTCTTTACGTCTTTTGCTATTTTTTTTTTTTTTTTTTTTTCAGACCTAAAGTATCTTGTAGTAACTTACAGAATATACCGCTTCATTCCGTTAATTTAGTGCAAGATTTAAAAAAGGTAAACTAGCCTCAAATGCTATATTGGCCAGATGGTTGAACACTTCCTAAATGGAGCTATAAAATCATATTTTCTTCAATACTTGTATTAATGGAACTTCTCACTAAATTTCTCTCCCGCACATTTTTTTCCATTTTTGTCTATAATCTTGAATCCATTCTCAACTTATCTTTCAAGCTTTATTCAATATTTATTGCATACTTATTAAACAAAGTCTCTCTACACAGTGCAGCATGATCTTGAAACTGATTTACAGCTGTATTCCACATATTTTTGTGCTGGTTAGAGATATAGTTAATATTTAAGGTGGAAATTTATGAAATCTCATATTACACACAATTTTTTGGTTTAACCCCTTAAGGACCAAACTTCTGAAATAAAAGGGAATCATGACATGTCACACATGTCATGTGTCCTTAAGGGGTTAAGTACCGCTACCTATTTAGCGAGTATATGCAAGCTTACAGTGCATATAAAAGTGCTGTGTAACCAGAAACTCAATTACTGGACAGCAGAGTGCAATCAATTACTTATTTCTGGAAAGCCATTAGATAAGTGGAGCTATGGGAGGAATAACATTAAATAGCCTACTGACATGCATGCAGATACTACAGCCAACATAAGGTTTACCACGCATTGCAGAAGAGCTACAATGGAAATCCGCAGGATGCAGTCTTTAGCCTAGAGTTTTTATTCAGCAATTAAACTGTAAATTGATCCTGTGTGTCAGTCCAGGCCACACTCTCGACTGTGTAACTAGTAGTTCAACATATCTGGAAAGGGATAATGCTCTGGTGGGGCTAGTAGGAAAAATAGCCCGTGTTAGATCCCTCAAGAGCACGTAGGTTACATAGAGCAGTGGCGTTAAGGGCAGAAAATGGCAAAGACTATTCAAAAGGGACATCTAATTGCAGTAACCCTTTGATCTAGCTGGATCTTGGCAGATAGGTTAAAGGAGCACTATAGTGTCATGAATACAAACATTCTAAATGTGCCGTTTATGCCTCCCAGCCCCTTTGTAAAAGTAAAAGAAGTTTGCTCACCTTTTATCCCAACGCTAAACACCGTAATGCACAAGTCAGCTTCTGCTCATAGAGATGCATTGAACAAATGCATCTCTGAGGAAAGTTCAGTGCCTCCATGCAGAATGTGGAGACTCTGAACGTCAGTACTGCACATTGGACAGCACTGACCCAGAAGTCACCTGTAGTAGCCATCTGTGTGAATGTTACTAGGGAGCAATGTAAACTCTTTTTATTATCAAGCCCCACTACTGCTGTAAGAAAGTCTGAGCTCCATCAGCTGATCGTCTGCATTAAACAAAGGTAGCCTTCTGGAAGACCACACTAAGACTCTGTCCTGCATAGCATCATTTATATTTAATTTAACCAACCTGTACTTTATTTTATATATCTTATGTGTATTTTATATTTTCTTGCCTTTATACTTCTGTCATGCTAAAATTTAGTTTTGCTAGCCCTGTATGTAATTGTTTTATTCACCTATATGCATTCCTCTATTCCCCCTCTGATTTCTGACTGACCTCTGACTCCTCCCTTCTTTTATGGATTGTTTTTATTTGAATAACTATCCCTTCATCTCTGTGCCGAGATACGTATCCTCCTCCCTCAGCTTTATTGCAAGCCTATCTGACCCTCCCATATCTTTATTCAACAGCCTGAATTCAGAATTATCAAGCCCCAATACTGCTGTAAAAAAGTCTGATACCCACCCTCCCCTCATCACCCCACCCCATACTCATTATTACATGTATAGATGGTCTGTCGCACGCAAATTTTATATAAGTAAAAATAACAGTTGTACACTCCTGCACTTTAACTCATAAAACTTAATATTTACCCTACCTTCACCTGCTCTTGATATTCCAATTATTTCTAATTTACTTTTTCCCAGTTTAGAAATATGTCTTCTCCTCCCCCTTTTATTTCCTTTCTCTCTCAGTATAAAAATCTCTCCTGACACCCACTTCATTCATCCCTCCTGTGACGAAGTGCCCTTCTCCACTTGTGCCTGGAGGGGACTGCTGACTAGCCTCCTGCCTTCCGACTATGGCCCCTGTGCTGATAGCTGTATTTTACCCTGCAATAAGGTTTATTTGGGTATTTCTGCCGGGTTGTTCGGGACTTCCAGTATGTGAGTAGTGCTACCCCAGGTAGCTATGCCATGGAGCCAATTCGTGTAACGAAAGACTATGGGAAAAACTTTGGCTCCATGGCGATTGAATTGTATGTATGTGATCTGAGCGCCATTCAATTATAATGTGCACTCAGATCTAAGCTATCTGGGGATATGTTGCATGTATATGTTTTATGTAGTAATTGTAACATTGTGTAATTTTATGTCTTTTTGTAACTATGTGGTTTAATGGAGTCTTGCCTCTGTCCTGGGAGATAATTTGATTACTTCCCAATTATCTCCAGGATAGAGAGGAGGGATTGTGATGTCACTGTGGGAGTGTTTTGTTTGTATTGTCTGTGATTGGTTATACTGTGTCCCACCCTGTGGGATGTCCCCTTGCATGGGGACTTGCATAAAAGCCAGTGTGTGGTCATTAAAACCAGATCATCTTGTACCTTTCTTGAAGCCTTGGCTCATGTTTGGGGGATTGGAAAACTACACTCTGGGGATTGCTATAATCACTATACTCCCCAGGGTATGATCACTAATCTCTGCTAAGAGCTTGTTCCTGTTCCTGTTCCTGCTCTCCGGGGAAAGAGAGGTTAACCCCCTGGAAGCTGGATCCTGACCTTGGGTCCAGGGTGGGTGGAGACAGCGAGACCCTGGCGCAGCTGCATCGCTGGAAGTGGGGTCTGCAGTGCTGATGGTGTCGGTTGGAGTCCTCAGCGAGCACTAGGAGCATCGACTGGCGGAGGTACTCAGTCGGAGTGCCAGCGGTCCGTCACATTTGGTGGCAGCGGCGGAATGGCGTACTAGTGCATGGACCAGCAGCTCGGAGACACCGGTAACATGTGGAGTTACGGATTTATAATTGAGGGCAGCGCTAGCACTCGTGCAGCGACCCTGACTTTGGAGGAACTTGAAGGGATGAAGCAAGCTAGCCCCCGGGTAGCGTCACCCTACGAGGAGGAGTTCCTATGGAGACTACAAAATGCCTTGGCCCAGGAGTGTGGCCCGATTTCAGCCGAGGAGGAGCTGGCGTGGAGAGATGGGATACGGCGAGATCTCTGGCAGGAGGCCTTGGAGTGGACACGAGGCCCAGGAGGAGAGAATCTCCCTAGCGAAGCACAGCGCACTCAGACACAAATGGCGCTGAGGAGGCCCTTCCTAGGGTATCTGCCCCAGAGAGAGTGGGTGCTGGAAGTGCAGAGGTTGATCAGAAAAGAACTGTGGCTGGATGAGGCTTACCGTGCGCTACGGTGGTTCTCGTCCAGAGGTGCCCCTGGATGGCTGAGAGTGAAAGGCCAGAGGGCCGTGATTAGGAGTACGATCAACTGTTCGACTTAGCCCAATCACCGACCCTCAGCCCAGAGGATTACCTGGACACCGTACCCTCTTCTGTCCACCCAGCCCCAGAGGTGAGCAACCCTATAGAACGGTCCTGGGATGACCCACAGATGGCAGGTAGAGATGGGACCGAAGTCTCTGTCGGCTCTACAGAGATGCTGGGCAGTCGGCCCAGGTCCCCAGCGGCAGTATAATATACAGGGAGAGGAGACAACTGGTCTCTCTCCCCAGCGGCGGCCTGAGTTCCTGGAGGAGATGATGGTAGATCCCTCCTCCGTACAGAAACCAGCGTCCTGGGGAGGGGAGGCAACTGGCCTTCCACTCCAACAGCAGCCGGAGATACCAGGAGAGAGGGAGAACAACCCTAACCCCACTGGCGCAGATGGGACCGCGGTCTCTGTGCCAGTCCTACAGGGATGCTGGACGGGCGGTCCAGATCACCAACCTTCCCCGCAGGGATACCAGGAGGAGGAGGTAAGCAAGCCTCCCCCTCCCCAGATACATCCCGACCGGGTCCTGGGGGCAGTGGATGAGCCTGCGATACCCACTGACCCCCTCCCAGCAGAAGAGCTGGCATCTGGGCAGAGCTCTGTTAGCCTCTGCCCCCCCTTTTCCCCTGTATTAGAGCCTGACTTACCACGGGTGACCCCAGAGGAAGTGCTAGCAGCAGGGCAGAGCGCCGCTGGCCTCTGCCCCCCAAGCAACACCAGCAGTTTGCCTAGCTGCACCAGAGAGACCGAGAGTGCTGCGCTGTCCCACTACAAACTTGAACCTACAGGCCAGTACCATTTATTGTGGGGGGGGTTACTCTGCGTATTTTTCTCTGTGGGTGGGCTGCCCGACTAACCTAGGTACTGACCGGTATAAGGTCAGGTACCTGTTTAGTCTTCACCCCAAAGAGAAGATGTGTGACGAAGTGCCTTTTGCCACTTGTGCCTGGAGGGGACTGCTGGCTAGCCTCCTGCCTTCCGACTATGCCCCCTGTGCTGATAGCTGTATTTTACCCTGCAATAAGGTTTATTTGGGTATTTCTGCCGAGTTGTTCGGGACTTCCAGTATGTGAGTAGTGCTACCCCAGGTAGCTATGCCATGGAGATAATTCGTGTAATGAAAGACTATGTAAAAGACTTTGGCTCCATGGCGATTGAATTGTATGTATGTGATCTGAGCGCCATTCAATTATAATGTGCACTCAGATCTAAGCTATCTGGGGATATGTTGCATGTATATGTTTTATGTAGTAATTGTAACATTGTGTAATTTTGTCTTTTTGTAACCATGTTAATGGAGTCTTGCCTTTGTCCTGGGAGATAATTTGATTACTTCCCAATTATCTCCAGGATAGAGAGGAGGGATTGTGATGTCACTGTGGGAGTGTTTTGTTTGTATTGTCTGTGATTGGTTATACTGTGTCCCACCCTGTGAGATGTCCCCTTGCATGGGGACTTGCATAAAAGCCAGTGTGTGGTCATTAAAACCAGATCATCTTGTACCTTTCTTGAAGCCTTGGCTCATGTTTGGGGGATTGGAAAACTACACTCTGGGGATTACTATACTCCCCAGGGTATGATCACTAAGCTCTAAGAGCTTGTTCCTGTTCATGCTCTCCGGGGAAAGAGAGGTTAACCCCCTGGAAGCTGGATCCTAACCTTGGGTCCAGGGTGGGAGGAGACAACGAGACCCCGGCGCAGCTGCATCACCGGAAGTGGGGTCTGAAGTGCTGATGGTGTCGGTTGGAGGGCTTGGAGGCCTCAGCGAGCACTAGGAGCATCTATTGGCGGAGGTATTCAGTCGGAGGGCCAGCGGTCCGTCACACCTCCATTTACATATTCCCATCTCTATTACACTCACCTATTCTCTCATCTCATGCCTTGCACTTATTTTCCTATTCTTTTACTCCTACCCACAATCAATCTCATCCTAGACCTCATGCATACAAAACCCATTCATTCCTCCTGTCACTTTCTCTCCTCCTGCTTCTAGCAGCTGGTGATCTCTCCCCCAAGCCAGGGCCCTTCACCTTCTCTACACACACTAAGAAAACCAGAAACCCCACAAACCTTATCACAATACCCTGCCCTTTACCCTCACTCACCAACATTCAGTGCGCACTTTGGAACGCACGCTCAATCTGCAGTAATTTAAAATAAACAGCCATACACGACTTTCATCTCAAACTCACACTACTCGCACTTACAGAGACCTGGCTGTCCCCCTTTGATAGCGCTACTCTTGCTTCTTTGTTTTGGCGGGCTCCAATTCTCTCTCACTCCCAGACTAAACTGTAAAGGAGGTAGTGTAGGCATTCTTCTCCCATCAATGTACCTTTCAACCAATCATAACTCCCTCTGCCCTATCCTTTTCTTCTTTTGAAGTTCACACTGTCCGCCTATTTAAACCCACTCCTTTAAGAATTGCTATCATCTACCGCCTCCCCTGTCATCCTAGGCTATTTATTGAGCACTTTTCTTCCTGGCTTCCCCACTTCCTCTCATCTAGCAATTCTTCCCTTATATTTGGGGATTTCAATATACCAATCAACAACCCCAACTGCACTGATGCATCTTGTCTGCTCTCTGTTAACCACCTCTTTTGGCCTTACGCAATGGTCCAATTTAGTAACCCATTCAGAGGGAAACACTCAATCTCTCCATCGCCTCTAATCTCTCCAATATTCCTTTTCCTCTATCTGACTACCATCTGTTGACTTTTGACATTGGCATACCTAAGACCCAATTGACCTCATCGTCTGGACATCAATCACACAGAAATCTCCAATGTCTTGACCTAGAGCATTTCTCCACTAATCTCCAATCTCTCCTTTTACCTATCTCAAACCTCACCTGTCCTAGCTCTGCAACCTCCTTCTACAATTCCACCCTCTCATCCCAACTAGATATCATTGTACCTCCTACATTCAAATGTAGCAAGTGCCCCAACAACAACCTTGGCACACCAAGCTGACTCGATATCTACAAATATGCTCTAGAACTGCTGAACGCTGTTGGAGAAAGTCTCACTGTGCATCTAACTTTCTCCACTATAAATTTATGCTGCGCTCATACAGCTTGACTCTTTCCTTTGCAAAAGTAAATTACTTCTATAACCTTATAACCACACTCTCCCACAAACCCAAATGACTATTTCACACATTTAACTCTCTTCGCCATATTCTTCCTCCACCTACTAACTTGACCGCCTCAGACTTTGCAACTCACTTCACTGACAATATCTCTTCAATCAGGGAAGAGATCTCACATCTTTCTTCTTCCCCTTACAATACTTCCCCTAACTTCACTCCCTCTGCTGTTCTATGTCCATTCGCACCCGCTACAGCAGAAGAGGTTTCTGCTTTGCTCCAGTCCTCCCGCCTCACCACCTACTCCCTAGATCCAATAACCTTGCATCTCGTCTGTACTGTCTCCTTCTCTTACTATACCTCTCACTAAAATTCTCAATCTCTCTCTCCTCTATTTCCATCGCCCTTCAAACATGCAACTATAACCCCAATTCTAAAGAAGCCCAACCTTGACCCTAACTCACCGTCCAACTTCCGTCCTATCTCGCTACTGCCTTTTGCATCCAAGATCCTTGAAAGAGTTGTGTATGCGAGATTGACAGACTTCCTCATGTCCAATTCTCTGCTAGACTTGCTTCAGTCTGGTTTCCGCGCTAAGCACTCTGTATAAACCGCACTGACCAAAGTATCCAATGATCTACTCGCTGCAAAAATCTCATGGTCACTATTCTATCCTAATTCTCCTTGACCTTTCTGCGGCTTTTGACACTGTTGATCATCAACAGCTTTTTGTCATCCTCCACAATATCGGTCTACAAGATATTGCTCTCTCCTGGTGCTCTTCCTACCTCTCCTGAAATTCTGGTCTTTCCTCCCTCAATTGTTGCTACTCCTGTGTCTGTCTCCCTCCAAGTCAACGGTGCTACCATCAGTTCCACCATGCAGGCTTGCTGCCTAGGTGTTCTCTTTGACTCCAACCTCTCGTTCACGCCTCATGTTCAGTCTATCGCCAAATCCTGCTGCTTCCATCTCAAAAACATTGCGCGCATCCGACCCTACTTAACGCCAAATTCGACTAAGGTGCTGGTCCATTCCACTGTCCTTTCTCACCTTGAGTGGTCTTACGTGCTCCCAACTTGCACCGTTACAGTCCATAATGAATGCGGCGGCGAGGCTCATATTCCTGTCTGCCCGCACAGCCCACACCTCACCCTTCTGTCAGTCCCTACATTGATATAGGGCTCAATTTAAAATTCTGGTTCTTGCTTTCAAATCTCTACATAATGCTGCTCCCACCTATCTATCGTCCTAATACAAAAGTATGTCCCATCTAGGCCCTTACGCTCTGCTGAAGACTTAGGTCTATCTTCTGTCACTACTCCCACCTCTGATGCTTGCCTTCAAGACTTCTCAAGGGCTGCACCGTTCCTGTGGAACTCTTCTCCCCTCCTCCCCCCCTCCCCCCCCCTCTGTCAGATGCTCACCCAGTCTCCATTCTTCAAAAAATCATTAAAAACCCACTTCATAAAAGCATATCAATTAAACTGGTAATAGCTCCCGACTGATTCCTCTCTTGCAACTGTCATTAGTCTAATACTATCCTTACCTTTTGTGTCCCTATACCCCACCTTATAACCTCTGGTTACAACTACATGTTCGTTCGTCCACCCACTGTAAAGCACTGCGGAATTTGTTGGCGCTATATAAATAACATAATACTATGAAGAAGCTGTTCACATTAAAAAGCTTTTAGGTACAGGCTATAGACACCCGCAGTACTACATTAAGCTGTGGCTATAGTGTCCCTTTAGTGTTTATCAGACTGGTTAACCATTGTATGAACTTGCAGTCATTGAATATTGTTAAAACCTTACTTTATCCCAGGGCATTATAAATTCTTAGACACCTAGCTTACTAATGCCTTGTTACCATCTCTAACTCTTAAAGCATCCTAAGTCTACTTTTGCATGTCTTTAATAATGCTAAATCTAAAATGCCCTTATCAGCCTTCTTGACTCATGTATTTGATTCAGTTGTTCATGCCTTTTACTCTCTCCTTTTTATTGGCATCTGTAATCTGTTATAGCTCACATCCTATCTTTCTTTGGTGGCTATCTCTGGCACATACTGCAATAAAACCTTGGCCCTAACATTTTTTTAAATTCTTTTTTCGTGCATGAGTTAATTTAACAAGCATCCATGTCATGCCCCAACTGCAGTGACATGCATTGAAATTGACAAAGTATAACAGTTGTGGCATATGAAATCGATGCACATTTTTGTATGAGGGTTATCAAAGGAAACAAGATGATAGCCAGTGGTGTGGCTCTAACAGTTTATGCATCTAATAGCTCTAGTTTCACCAAGTCTTTCTTCACTCCCAGTATAAAGCGAAACAATCTTTAATGCCATATTGCTGTATAATTGTGGATTTCTCCGTAAGCTAAAATGTAATTACTCCTAAAATCATTAATATCCCTTCGTTAACTGCACCTATTCTGTTTATACCACGTGACAGCCGAACACTACCTAAAGGGAGCTATACATTAATATTTCCTGTAAGACTTGTATTAATGAAGTAATTCATGAATTCATTTCACTCAATTCCTCTTCCGCACATTTTTGTCTATAATGTTGAAGCCATTCTCAACTTGGCTTTCAAACTTTATTTCATACTTATTAAACAAAGTCTCTCTACACAGTGCAGCATGATCTTGACACTGATTTACTGTATTCCACACATTTTTGTGCTGGTTAGAGACATAGTTAATATTTAAGGTGGAAATTTATGAAATCTCATTATTGATTGTGCCAAGTTCAGATTAAAGTCAGTTGATTTAAAAAAAAAAAAAAAATTTAGGTTGCTATTAGTTGCTTTAAATCTGGTTAAACCACTTTTTCAACCTGATCAATATTTTTATAGAACCCTATTACAGTGAAGTTGGCTCTTAAAACATCCATTTACACGTGGAAGTGATCATTTTGAAATTGCATCACCATTTTAAACATAAATCTTTGAAACTAGTGCATCTTGTAATAATACCAGTCAGGCAATAGATTTAAATGGGATAATTGCAGTATCAGTAACTACACAAAGTCTCCCTTAGAAGGGGTTTAAAAGCACCTTACGTTAAAGGCCGCGCAAGTATGCAGGCGCTGGCCCCGTCCCGATCCGTCTCCTTGGTGACGTTAAAATTTTAAATTTTTAGCCATTCCAATGCTCCGCCCCCTCCTGTGTTTTATTCACACTGTTTATTCCCCTCTCCTCCCCTCCTCCCCCCCCCTTTGGGTTTCATTCTCCCCTGTGGGTTTCATTCCACACAGGCCCCTTCCGCTCCCCCCGTCTCCCCTCCGATGTCAGCCATTTACCTGCAAACAGATATTCTGTAACTTGGTTGTAGTTTAATCTTACAGCAGTTAGCAATATTGGCTTTGTTGCAAGGAAAAGTTTGATTTAGCCTATTAGTTATAGTTTTCTGAAGGACCAATAATTTGTCAGGTTTAATTTGTTGCATCAATCTCCACAGTTCAGTGTGACACATTTATTTTTATTTTCTCTTCAGGTGGAGTACATGTTGGTGTCGTTTGATCATGAACACCAAAAAGTACGGCTAGTACTTAAAGGAGAGGAAATGCTGGACACTCTTCAAGACCAAGGAGAAAAAATAAATCCTAAGTAAGTGTAGAACAATTGCAATCTGCCTTTTTATTGAGCTTTGTTTATATAACAGGTTGAAGTTTCTAGTGTATATTTTATATCTATGTGGCTCTAAATTTTCATTCACGTAATACCATATGAAGTAATTTCCTGCGATAAGAATTTGTTGATGCAATATTGAACCTACGAAACTTGAAAATGGCTGTTGCAATATTTTCTATAGATTATTCTGGAACTGTTAAATAATGGCCGATTTTAATTCTAAACAATTTTTAGACACCATAGTTCATTGTTGTGGCTAAAAAAAATATATATATATATTTTTAAACATATAAAATGTTTTCTCTGGATGCAGCCATCCAACACTTTGGAGACCAGAATATGGTAGTTACATGATTGAGGGTACGCCAGGACAACCTTATGGTGGTACCATGTCTGAATTTAACACTGTGGAAGACAACATGAGGAAAAGACGTCTGGAAGCCTCCTCATTACTGGAAGAGAATACGTCAATTTGCACAATAACATCCTTTCCAAGGTAACTAAATTGGCTAGTTTTATTTTTTTTTATTTTTTTTTCCCCACTTTCAAGAATAAACTTTACATCACACGTTTTTAGTATTTAAGTGCTTTAGAGGCCAGCATTTGTGAATTTATTTTCTTCAGTCTTTCAATCTTTCTAATGAAAACACTATATATCTCTCTCTCTCTCTCTCTCTATATCTATATCTATATACACATATAATAAAATTATAAAGAGACTTGTGCAATCACATAGAAGAGCTACTGTAGCTCAAATTGCTGTAAAACATAATGCTGGCCACAATAGAAAGATGTCAGAACATACAGTGTCTTGCAGTTTGCTGCATAGCCAAAAGCTAGAGTGGCTATAATAGCCACCTCCGAAAGATCTTTCAATGGGGATGTGCCTGATTCGTCAGACCTAGCTACCTTCTTCCATTGCTCCATGGTCCAGTTCTGTGTTATGCTCTGGGAATCCTTGGGTCCTTGCATTCATTTGGATGATACTTTGATATGTACAATCTACCTAGAGATTGGTGCAGACAACTTAAACCCCTTCAAGGCAATGGAGTTTCCTGATAGCAGCGGTCTCTTTCAGAAGGATAATGAACACCTCAAAAAATGTTTTAAGAATGGTTTGGGGAACATAACAAAGAGTTTAGGTCCCTTGCCTCCAAATTTCCCAGGTCTCTATCTGAAGCATCTTTGGGATGTGTATAGAATCCTACGCAGGACACATTTTGAGGTCTTATAGAGTTCATGCCTTGATGCATCAGAGCTATTTTGGCAGCACTAGGGGGGCCTACATGATGTTAGGCAGGTGGTTTTAATGATCAGTGTATGTAGAGATGCAATATATTTGCTCTTGTATGTCCGGTTGAAATCAATTGTAAAGTTGTGTAACAGAATCTCAAATTAGAGGTAAGCTTGCAAAATTAACTATTTGGTAGTAATTGCCCTAGATAATTTACTGCAGTTTTTTTTTTATTTTATTTTTTTACATTTAAAGGTGCAAAGTGATTATATATAATTGTACATTGAGTGTAGTGGTTATAATGCTTAAAGACCTATACATATGGTGTGAACACTGCTGTATATAGTATACTTTACTTTTGTAGGCTTGGATGTCCAGGATTTACATTACCTGAATTTCCACCAACGCCAGTGGAACAAGGGGCTTCAAAGTCCCTCTTCTTCCCTGATGAAGCAATTAACAAACACCCTAGATTTAGGTAAGTTTAAGAATTTTGGACTTGAGCTTGCACAAAAAACTAAATTCGTTGGAGTCCAGTATTTTTTTATTTAAATTTTTTTCCTCTTTTTCTCTCCAAAGTACTTTAACAAGAAATATTCGACACAGAAGAGGAGAAAAGGTGGCTATTAATGTACCAAGTAAGTATTGGTCATTATAAATTGTATTGTTTTGTTTCCTCTGCCTCTATTTTAATCTTCCCATATTTTTTTTTTTTTTTTTTCACCATCTGCAGTTTTTAAAGATCGGAACACACCATCTCCATTTATTGAAAGATTTCATAATGATAGTGGAGATGATGCCAAAGCAGCTTTGCCAAATCATATATACATGGATGCAATGGGATTTGGCATGGGCAACTGCTGCCTTCAGGTAAGCTTTGCAAAATTAAGATGACTGATGTTTAAACATGTCCTTTCTTCCGAAGTTTTTGTAAAATAAATATTCTATATATCATCATTGCAACTGTATTGTTACCAGTTCACCTGTAATACTTAAATTGTATGTATTACGTTTAAAAAAAAAAAAGTATTGTCACAATTGTATGGATGCATAGCAGTATGTGTTGCACAATTACCAATGTATAATTAGACAAATGGAGGTTATTTAGTTACTCCAATGGACATTGGAGGGAATGTCCGCCTACCAACGTCAAGGCAGACCCCCCCTAAGCGGATCCTACACTGACCCTTCACCTTGTTTCCTTGAGCTTCTGGCAAAGATATCTCTGAGACAGAGAGGGGTATTTTTTTTTATATACACCTCTATATACTTATTATTATTATTATTATTATTGCCATTTATATAGCGCCAACAGATTCCGTAGCGCTTTACAATATTTTGAGGGGATGTAACAATAAATAGGACAATTACAAGAAAACTTACAGGAACAATAGGTTGAAGAGGACCCTGCTCAAACGAGCTTACAGACTATAGGAGGTAGGGTATTAGAAACATTAGGACATGGAATATCAGGTAGGAGTGAAGCAGAGCTGGAGGAGAGAGCAAAGCACTGTCCCATAGGAGAGAACAGGAGACAGGTATGCAAGGTAGAGATTACTCTGGGAGGCCATAAGCTTTCCTGAAGAGATGGGTTTTAAAGCCCTTCTTAAATGATTGAAGACTAGGGGAGAGTCTGATGGCAGTAGGCAAGTTATTCCATAGGAGAGGAGCCGCCCGCGATAGTCCTGCAAGCGCGAGTTGGCCGTACGGGTGCGAGCAGCGGTCAGGAGGTGGTCACGAGCAGAGCGCAGGGTACGAGGAGGGGCATATCTATGGATTAGTGAAGAGATATAAGCGGGGCTAGAATTGTTCAGTGCTTTAAATGTATGGGTTAGCACTTTGAATTGACTCCTATAGCATACAGGGAGCCAATGTAAGGACCGGCAGAGGAGTGAGGTGTGAGAGGACCGACTAGAGAGGAAAATCAGTCTAGCTGCAGCATTCATTACAGACTGTAGCGGGGCAATACGGCTTTTGGGGAGACCAATCAGGAGAGGGTTACAGTAATCCATGCGGGAAATTACTAGAGCATGGATAAGCTCCTTGGTAGCATCTTGCGTAAGAAAGGGTCGAATGCGGGCTATGTTTTTGAGTTGGAACCTACAGGACTTGGTAACAAACTGGATGTGAGACTCAAAGGTGAGACCAGAGTCAAGTATGACGCCAAGACAGCGCGCTTGCAGGGATGGACTTATGTGGATATCACTGACTTGAAGGGAGAGCGAGAGAGGAGGATCAGTATTAGGAGGAGGAAAAAAAAGTTCAGTTTTAGAGAGGTTAAGTTTCAGAAAGCGTGAGGACATCCAGTCAGAGATGGAAGAAAGGCAAGCAGTGACACGTTGCAGGACGGCAGGGTCCGGGGTGGAGAGGTATATCTGAGTGTCATCAGCGTACAGGTGGTAGTGGAATCCAAAAGAGGCAATAAGTTTCCCAAGAGAGGCAGTATAAAGAGAAAATAGGAGACCAAGGACAGACCCTTGGGGAACTCCAACCGAGACAGGACGAGGGGAGGAGGTGTCCTTGGAAAAGGAGACACTGAATGAGCGTTGGGAGAGATAGGAGGAAAACCAAGAGAGGACAGAATCACAGAAGAGTTTGAAGGAGGAGAGCATGATCAACGGTGTCAAAGGCAGCAGAGAGGTCAAGGAGAATTAATATGGAGTAGTGACCTTTGGATTTAGCGGAGATTAGGTCATTAGTCACTTTGATAAGAGCAGTCTCAGTAGAGTGGAGAGGGCAGAAGCCAGACTGAAGAGGGTCAAGGAGAGAGTTGGAATTAAGGAAGAGGGACACACGGGTAAAGACAAGTCTTTCCAAAAGCTTTGATGAGAAAGGGAGCAGGGATATGGGACGATAGTTAGAAGGGGAGGATGGGTCAAGAGATGGTTTTTTTTTTTCAGGATAGGTATTACAGTGGCATGTTTAAGGTCAGCAGGAACAGTGCCAGAAGAGAGAGAGCAGTTAAAGATGTGTGTTAGGGTAGGCACAAGACAAGGGGAGATAGATCTGATGAGGTGAGATGGGACAGGATGGAGTGGGCAAGTGGTGGGGTGAGAGGAATGGAGAAGCGCAGCCACCTCTTGTTTCAGTAGCCGGGTAGAAAGTCTGGAGGGTAGGGAAAGCAAGATTTACATGTGGTTGAGAAAGAGAACGGCAAGGAGGGGAGAATTGTTTCCTTAGCTGTTCGATCTTGTCAGTAAAGTAGCATGCAAAGCTATCAGCTGTAAGGTTAGTTTGGGGTGTGGCCACAGCAGGGCGGAGAAGGGAATTAAAGGTGTCAAAGACGTCTGGGATTGCGGGAGCATGAACTAATGAGAGAGGAAAAGTGTGACTCTTTGGTAAGAGCGAGGGCTGCGCTGTATGAAAGCAACATGAATCTATAATGGAGAAAGTCTGCCTGGGTGCGGGACTTCCTCCAGGAGCGTTCAGCACAACGGGAGCAACTCTGCAGATAGCGTGTTGATTTATTATGCCAAGGTTGGGGTCGTGTCCTCCTCGAGGTGCATGTTTGGAGTGGGGCTGCAGCGTTCAAGGCAGATGTGAGGGTAGTGTTATGTGGAGATGGCCAGTGAGGGACAGGAGAGGGAAGGGATGGATAGCAGTTGTGAATCAATGTCAGCTGACAGCTGCTGGAGGTTAATAGAGTTAAGGTTCCTCCTGAGCTGAGGGGGTTAGGCTGAGATTGTTGGGTGAGAGGGTAATTGAGAGCAAATGATAAGAGGTGGTAATCAGAGAGAGGAAATGGAGCGTTGCAGATATTAGATATTGTACATGAATAAGAGAAAATAAGGTTGAGGGTATTGCCAGCTACATGAGTGGGAGAATTAGCCCACTGCAAAAGTCCAAGGGAGGAAGTGATTGAAAGTAGTTTAGAGGCTGCTGGGGTTAAAGGTGGGTTAATGGGAATATTGAAGTCTCCAAGAATTAGGGATGGGATGTTGGAAGAGAGGAAGTAGGGTAGCCAGGCAGCAAAGTGGTCAAGGAAGAGGAGAGGGGAACCAGGGGGACGATAGATTACGGCAATGTTAGCAGAGAAGGGTTTGAAAAGGCGAATTGAATGAATTTCAAATGATGGGAAAGAGAGGGAAGGGGGGGTGGACAGGGTTTTAAAGGAGCAGTGTGGTGAGAGAAGAAAACCTACACCGCCACCTTTAATCTCTGCTTGTCTTGGATTGTGGGTAAAGTGAAGACCACCAAAGGACCGTGAGGCAGGTGTAGCAGTATCAGAGGGAGAGAGCCATGTTTCTGTTAGTGCAAGTAGGTTTAGGGAGTGTGAGATAAATAGGTCATGGATGGAAGTAGATTTAAAGGTGCTGCACACAGAGCGTGCATTCCAGAGGGCAGCTTTAAAAGAGGAATTATAGTGGGTATTAGGTTGTTGTGGTTTCTGGTGTTTGTACCAGGTGGCTGAGTAGTGGAGGGACCAGGGTTTGGAGAGATATCACCTGCTGCTAGGAGTAGTAGGATGGAAAGGAAGAGAAGGTGGGAGTAAGATTTAAATGTTGGGGATGAGAGCTTGTATTTAAGGTATTTAGGAGGGGTGTGTTGAGAAAGGCTGGATAAATATGAATAAAGTGCGTGTGATGAATACAGAGATGAGGGGATCAGAGATGGAGCAATGAAGATGGTGTTAGCAGGAACAGGCAAGTAAAATGATAGAGAGATTTTAATGATGAGGGAAGTGAGAGAGAAAGTGAAAAATAGAAGTGAGAACATTAGTAGGAGAGTAAGTGCTGTGTTTTTAAGAGCTGTGGTTAGGAGGGATTAAGGGTTAAAGAGGTATTGTGTGAGTATAGCTATTTTGGGTGTGGAGGGCTTGGTGGACAGAGGCTAACATAATTGGTTTAACAGGAAAGGTAGGTAATTTGAGCTATCTATAAATGTAGTGATTACCATGGGGAGTGTGGGGTAGGGTGGGTGGGAAGCGATCATCCAGTAAATGCTACCTCTGCTTATGGCAAGTCCTGCAGGGTTGTGTGCTGGGAGTCCTGGGTGTAGCTGATTCAATATTGTATGGGGCCCAGGCTATAAAGGAGAGAATCTGGGGTTAGATAAAGCAGATTGTGGGTGGAGAATCATTGGGGTGTTACAAACAAAAATCAAGGAAAAAACAGATGAAAGGGAATATAAATTTAAGGATATGAGGGAATGGCAGAGATAAGATAGGTAAAAGTCATAAATAGGGAACATCATAAATTAATGAGGCATAGAGTGCAATAACTAACACTAGCAAAACAAACATGTAACTAAACAAGAGTTAAAGGATGGAGGGTGCAATAGTCCTCAATTAAGCAGCAGTACTGTTGGGGGGTGGATAAAGAAAGAAATACAATTTAAAACAAAAATAGGAGAAATAAGAAGTCCAGGTATTCAAGATGATCATCCAGTAAATGCTACCTCTGCTTATGGCAAGTCCTGTAGGGTTGTGTGCTGGGAGTCCTGGGTGTAGCTGATTCAATATTGTATGGGGCCCAGGCTCTGCTTATGGCAAGTCCTGCAGGGTTGTGGGAACATATGGGATGGGCGGCAACATTGTAACAAAGCTGTGTAATACAAAAAGTGAATACAAAAAGAGAAGTCCTGCGCTCACTCCCATCACTCCTGGGTGGCAGCAACGACCACAGTACACAACAGCCCCAATATATAGTAAAAACCAAAGGTAAACGCGTTACATACGCTCTCTCCTTAATCCCTATGTATATTTAGACAAATGGATGGTGTACATAAAAATAAAATACCCCTCTGTCTCATTAGAGATATCTTTGCCAGAAGCTCAAGGAAGCAAGGTGAAGGGTCAGTGTAGGACCCGCTTAGGGGGGTCTGCCTTGACGTTGGCAGGCGGACATTCCATCCAATGGCCATTGGAGTAACTAAATGACCTCCATTTGTCTAAATATACGTAGGGATTAAGGAGAGCGCAGGTAACTTTTTTCCCTTTGGTTTTTACTATATATTGGGGCTGATGTGTACTGTGGTCGTTAGTGCCGCCCAGGAGTGATGGGAGTGAGCGCAGGAATTATCTTTTTGTGTTTGCACAACTACCAATGTTGCTACCCAATGCTTCTCATTGCAATCCTCTTACAAAAAAATACAATCACAAATATATAATAATGGGGGGTGTTTATTTTTACTGAACATTAAAATAGTGTATGTCTTTTGGCCGACTAGATGAACCGAATGGTTCTTATCTGCCGTCGCATTCTATGTGTCTTTTATGTTTAACTTATGTTGATATTGTTTTGCCGATTTTATATATTTATGCTTTTTCCATAGGGCTTTCTTGCTGTCGATTCTTTAAACTACATTTTTTTCTTTTTTTTTTTTTTCTCCTCTTATTTTCAATAGGTAACTTTTCAAGCATGCAGCATTTCTGAAGCCAGATATTTGTATGACCAACTAGCTACCATATGTCCTATTGTGGTAAGTGTTCCTGCTAATTAAGGCATTTACAGATGCAAATGTTGCTGTGATCTGCATTTGTTTTATAAGGCTATGTGGATAAGGAACATTGATGTTAATGGGGTTAGTATGTGTTGAACAAACCGGTTTTGGGGTTAGTGTGTAGGGCTGAACAAACCGGTTTTGAGCTTTTTATTTTTTTTATTTTTTTTTTTAAGGGGGGGGCATGGGGGGGATTGGGGCCGCACTGCCAGTCAAGAATTGTTTGGATTTTTTTTTTCTCCAAAATTTAAGATGGCTATCTGTGCCAAACTGCATTGATGTCAGCTGGCAGGTGTGTGGGAGTTTTGCAAACTATTTACAATGAAAAGGCCAGTTCTGATACTTCTTACACAACTGGTGACAAAGGGACATCCTGCCCCAATACAAAAAAAAATATTAAAAAACAATTGTGGAGATTGCCACTTGCATGCATCTAATAATGCATTTTTCATTGGGAGTACATCCAAAAAGTGCTTGCAAAAACTGCAGATCCTTTCTCCAACCACAGATTTCCAAATTCAGCTCATAGTTACATTGTAAGCTAAATTGAAAAACTCAAGTCTATAGCTTTCAACTTTTAAAACCTATCCCTTTATGTTATTGATTCAAAAGAAGGTGAAAAAACCCCACAACTCTAGCCATTTCCAGTTTGACACACTGGGGAAAAAATATGGTCTTCATAATGGCAACCTGATTTCTCCTTGGATCAACATTATATATTCTATCCTTGAATATTCCTTTTTTTTTTGTTTTTTTTGGGGGGGGGGGTGGGGACATCCAGGTCTGTAGATATGCGGATCCCTGTATATATCTGTGTAGTGCAATCATATTCCCTCTGAATTTTTCTTTTTCTAGCTCTGCAATATCTTTCTTGAAAGTTGGTGCCCAAAATCACACTAATTGGGGAGTATTATCACTGATTTGTAAAGAAGCAACATTTTGTATTTTATTCACGTGAATAAATACGAATTATTTTGTTGGTCAAAATGAATTATTGATTTAATATTATCCTTTAACATCCCTTCAGCTCACAGATGTTAAGCTCAAATTCCTTGGTTTCTAGATTGAACTTTTAAATTATTTTAAAAGGGTCACTATAATCACCAGAACCACTACAGCCTAATGACAACCTTTTTCCTTATTTTTCTGATAAATTTATGTAAGCTGAAGTGTTTTTCTCAATGTTTTGCATGTTGTCTGTTTGAGTTACCAAATCTAAATTGTTCATGTTCTAGATGGCTTTAAGTGCTGCAGCACCATTTTACAGAGGATATGTGTCTGATATAGACTGCCGCTGGGGTGTAATTTCTGCATCAGTTGATGATCGAACTAAAGAAGAAAGGGGGCTGAAGGTATGATTCAGGTGCCACGAGTGGTTAAATTAAAATTACTAGAAGTAAAATAAAGTATTTGGTGCAATATAAATGCCAGTCATAACAAGGAATAGTTAGGGTCCCTGATTAAAGAAGTTACTTTTTCCAATGTTTTCTTGTAGTATATCATACTTTTGTGAATAGGTTTGCATTTTATTTAAATCTGGCAAGTTGTTTACCAAACTGTTACATTCTCACTTCCGAGGACCCTAGTTTACTGTTAGACCATAACTAAACTATTTAAACTAGAATCCAGTGGACTGAGCCAGGGCACACCAGCCCACATAACTTTAGAAAGATAAAATATGCATGATGCCCAGAGTGTAGATTTCCCTAAAGGAACACATTTTGCTAACAGTTCTACTGGTACAGTCTATTGCTCAATCATTTGTGACTCCATGCTTTTGTTGGGAGTCTCAATTTGTTGATACAGAGTACATTATTTTCATCCAGGTGTCCGGCAACTGCCCACAATAAGTTGTTCACTGTAGCAGGACTGCCTTTTATAATGCAGTGAAGACACTGGGAAGAGCCTAATAAGTGTTTTTACCGTTGTATACATATACAGTTCAAGGATGGATCCGGGAACAGTATTTGAGGTGGTGGGGTGTTCATGTATCTCTTTTATAAAAAAAACAAAAACAAAACATATGTATGTATATATATGATTACTTGATCTTGAGTATCACCCGCTCCTCCATTTAATATCAGTCATTGTAGAAGTGTGTGATGAGGATGGTATTTCAGGAAATATTGACCATGGTGTCTTCTGTCTTTGCAGCCTCTGAACAATAATAAATATCAAATAAGTAAATCTCGTTATGATTCCATAGACAGTTATTTGTCTAAATGTGGAGAAAAATACAATGATATTGACTTGACAATAGACAAAGAGATCTATAGTCAATTAACAAGTGAAGGTAAGTGGTTTTTTTTTTTCTTGATTGATTTTTTCATAAATGTGAAGTGAACAAAATTAAAACAAAGTAGTATAGGTACAAAAGGTTTTCTTAGAACTTGGTACACCACCCATTTAGTACTGTTAGCATTGGTAGTAATAGCAACATCGGACCAATAGAATAACAAATATGCAAGACGTATAATTAATCTGAAACTTTGACCATTCCATGAGACTGTATATTTAGCTTTGTTTTCCAGTATGTGAAAATGTATGTACGATAAAGTAAGACTGTTAACTTTTAGCGTATTTGTTGTAGTAAGCCATGAATTGCAGGAATTACAGCAATGCACAGTTCAGTAATGCTTCATATAAAGATAGGGGGGTAAATTACATCTATCTAATGAAGGTCACAGTATGCTTGTGGACATTTAATAGTTTAGAGATCAATATGTCAACAACTGATGAGGCAGCCTCACTATCGGAACCCTAAAAAAAAAAAAAAATGTGGGTGGAAAAAAGGAAAGAGCTGCTTGGGAAGATAAATTTCTCCTTTGTCTAGAATCTAAAGCAACATCACTGCTTGAGGTGCATATCAAACAGAAGGATACAAGAGAAAGCAGAATAGTATAGCAGAGAAAATTACTGGTTTTCCATGTATAGAACTTTTTTTTCTAAAAAAAATTTAGTCTAAACATGGGTGTCGTCTTATACACTGTCACTGCACGGGTTAAAATAAACACTTGTGTGCAGGGCGTGATGGCCAACCAAGCTAGTTGCATGTGGCTGGAGCTCCTTTAAAAAAAAATCAAATTATTAAGTCAAATACTTACGGTACTTAGCGCAATTTGGGCACAAAACTTGACTACTAGCTGACAGAAAACTCTGCTTACTGTTGGGGTCGCTACTGCCAGGTTCCTGCGGGCATAGGCTGTGTTGTACACCTCCGCGACCTTCTGACATACATTAAGCAGAGGCGGCACTTCCTGAATTTGATTGGTTGTGTAAGATCTTGGGAGATCTTGCGCAAACGCATGCTTTCTCGCATGACTCTGGACCACGCCAAGACCTCACATCTCCGCACTACAGATAGATGCTGCAGGTTGAGGCTATTCCTGGATACTTTAGGGTACCGCGGGCGGAGGGCATAGTTGCCGCCAACAGCAGGATGGCAGTCCATGGAACCAGTGGCCAGACCTCGGGGAGCAGCTTACCAGAGTGTGAGGGGGCAAAGGACTGGTGGGGACTTAAGTACTATAGATGTTTAAAATATGTTTCTTAATTTTAGGGGCCGTCTTATACATGGGGAAAAATACGGTATTTGAACAGGATGGGGGGAGGGGAGATGACAAGGGAAATGGCTCCAAATTAATATGCTACGCAGTAAAACCAGGTAGCAACTTAAATTTTAATAACATATGGTATTTTAGCATATTTTTCTTATTCATCTGTAAATGTCCCTGCTACCGGAATCAGGCCTGCATGTTCTTAAATATTGAGTGGATTACTGGGAAATTGCATAGAGTACTGGTATGAAATTAAGTGATGTTGGTTTACAAATTTTAGTACACCTAAATAGTTTAACTACCTTTTATATGTATGTTTCTTTACACAAGACAAGCAAGAGTTGTGTGTATGGAGTACATTGTAAAAAATAAAATAAGAGCAGGTATTGTGTTGATGATCTCTAATATAAAGTATGCAGGTAGGTTACAGTGTTTACACCTCTAGCATTCATATATCTTTCCACTATTAGAAATTGTTGATCCAACAACGCTGAGCATCCAATGTGTGTTAAAACTAATTCTGTTGAACTAGCTGAAGGTTTTGTTTGTGTTCTGCAGTATATATTTGTGCTCTTATTTTGCAAATGGCATACTGCCGTTTTGGATTTAAAAGTGGTAGAGGTGCACAATGTTGCCCAGATATTTTAATATATGCATTGGGCTATTCACAGATTTGTATTCCTAGTTCTATTATATCCATTCTAAAAAACAAACAAACAAAAAAAAGGCACGTGTGGGAAGCTGGTTTGATTTGCTTTCATTAGTGTAATGCTTGTAACCAAGACACAGGATAGTTTACAATAGTTCCATAACATGTGTAAGACCTTAGCTATGTTGTGAACCCCATTTTTTTTTCTTGGTACAGGAATTGATCATCTATTAGCCCAACACATTGCACATCTTTTTATAAGAGACCCATTGACTTTATTTGAGGAAAAAATACACCTGGATGATGTCAATGAATCAGACCATTTTGAGGTAAGGTGTGTGTGTGTAGAGAATGACATTGCTTTAAATATCCAATTGTCTGTACTGTGTATCAGTGTTGCTAATTATGCACCCCTGTATAGTCAGTCTGTTCATTTTACAGTAAATAAACCCAGCCCAATATAAATGTTGCACAGTTTGGTGTAAAAAATAAAAAAATTACATAGCCTGGAAACTTATTTTTTATTCTCAATTTTACAGAACATTCAGTCAACAAACTGGCAGACCATGAGATTTAAGCCTCCCCCACCAAATTCTGATATAGGCTGGAGAGTGGAATTCCGCCCAATGGAGGTATACAAATGATCGTTATAAAAAAAACTGTTGAACAATATTTAACTGTTAAATTAACGTGTGAGACACAACAACAAAAGGCACAAATTAGACCAGCTGTAAAGTAAACGTAATAACTTGAATACGGTCTTTGTACCTTATGTAGTTGTAACCCATTTTGAAATTATCTCTGGCGTTAAGAGCTTTTACAATAACTTTTGTGCGTATTTTCAACATTCCATTTAAAAAAAAAAATTAAAAAAAATTTCAATTGTAGGTTTACTTGAATAAAATATTTTTCTCTCAATGAGCTGGAATATTGTGCCAGTAGATGAATATTTAATACTTAAAAACGTATTGGCGCCCATGTGGAACCTCATAATGCAGGTTTTATATTCTAGAAGTTCTATGGCTTTTGACTGTATCTTATAGAAATGTACAAATTTCCTTTTTGGTGTGAAATTGCCATTTTTATTTGCTGGTGCTTGATATTTGAAGCAAATAAAGAGTAGTAGGTGTGAGAAATATAGAAAATAAATAAATACCACCTAGGGAAGAACAAACTGGAAATAGTGTAATCACGTAACAAATATGTACACATGCAATGATAATGCTAAAAACTCACAAGATTTGAGAAAATATTCCGGCTCATTATCCTTCCATATTGGGGTGATAGATATAGGTTTTCTAATTGGCTAGAGGTTTTCTTGTACGTAAAAAGAGCAGAAAAAATGCAGATAGTGCAGATGGTAATATTCACAATAGATTTATTAAAAATGCACTTACAAGGTAGATAAAATACAGCATCTCTCCATAATATATAGATCCCTAGATACCACTTAATCGATGGGTTAAGCTTCAGAATGGACACTAATCTTCGAGATGATAGAATCTCTCAAAGAAGTATATAACTTAAATAAAAACAAAATAAGAACAGGTATACACAGTCCTTGAAGGGTGTATATGTGACTCGTTTCGTCTTCTAGACTTCCTCAGGAATGGTGGTCTCTGCTTGATATTTCACAATAAGTTGCCAAAATGCATTTTCCTATTGTAGCATGTTTATTTCTGTCATGTGCAGTTAATTTTTATTTATTTATTCTCTCTCTAGGTCCAGTTAACAGATTTTGAAAACTCTGCTTATGTTGTGTTTATAGTTTTGCTGACAAGAGTTATTCTTTCATATAAGTTGGATTTTCTCATCCCTTTGTCAAAGGTAAATGCAGTCAATATAATGCAATGTCTGAGGTCTTCAATAAAAATATTGGCAGAAAATATCTATCCATTTACAAATAGGTGAAGAGAGGAAATGTGTGGTTTTGTTTTTCTTCCAGTGGTTTTCAAGTTGCCAATTGATATTCCACATTGCAAGTATCCTACAAATATTGCTTATATAGTCTTAATAATAGGAGATAGCTGTGTAATCTAGGTTTATAGTCCACTTATTCGGTTTTAGTTTGACAGTAAAAAATTTTTAATGACTAATTTTTACAGGTGGATGATAATATGAAGGAGGCCCAGAAAAGAGATGCAGTGCGACAGGGAATGTTCTACTTTAAAAAAGATATATGTAAAGGTAACTCACTTTATAGTTAATTTTAACCCCTTAAGTACCGAGGACGGTTCAGGACTATATGTCATACTATGTGTATTTTTATATTAATATAAAAATACACTTATAATTAAATTGCACACGTGTGTATATATAATATATAATATATAACTGTATATATTGTGTGTGTGTGTGTGTGTGTGTGTGTGTGTGTGTGCGTGTGTATATATATATATGTATATATATGTATATATATATATATATATGTATATATATATATAATTATAAAATATAAATTTTAAATTAATTTTTTTTAAATAATAAAAATTGAAAAAAATTATATCTAAATGAAATTTTATTCTAACTGTGTTTTAAAATTAATATATATATATATATATTTATATCAAAATACTTAGAATGAATTTGTATATATATCTATGTATATATAAATAAGTAAAAATAATACGAAATATACATATGTCCATATACAAAATTACATAAATAATTATATAAATATACTCGTAGTTTTCAAATATATAAATATGCATATATATTTAAATTCTACGTGCGTATTTATGTAATATATTTACATAATTAAGTAATTTTATTGATTGCAATTTGAGGGACCTGCCTGCCAACCCAGGCCAAAAGTCCAGAGAATTTAATTTGCTAGCACTGTATTTTACCCTGTAACGTTCTACGACACCCTAAAACCTGTACATGGGGGGTACTGTTTTACTCGGGAGACTTAGCTGAACACAAATATTATTCAAAAACAGTAAAACATATCACTGTGATGATATTGTCAGTGAAAGTGACTTTTTTTGCATTTTTCACACACAAACCGCACTTTTACTGATGATATTGTTGTGATACATTTTCCAGTTTTTAAACACTAGTATTTGTGTTCAGCGATGTCTCCCGAGTAAAACAGTACCCCCCATGTACAGGTTTTATAGCATTTTTGAAAGTTACAGGGTCAAATATATGGGTCAAATATTTTTACATTGAAAATGGCCAGGTTGGTTACGTTGCCTTTGAGAGCGTATGGTAGCCCAGGAATGAGAATTACCTCCATGATGGCATACCATTTGCAAAAGAAGACAACCCAAGGTATTGCAAATGGGGTATGTCCAGTCTTTTTTAGTAACCACTTAATCACAAACACTTCAGATACGTAAAACACTTTATCAAGCTTAAGTGTTTTGTGTCTGGAAAGTTTCTGTAAGAGAAATTCCTAAAAAGAAAATGTTTCTGTAAACATATTTCTCAAAATGTGTATGAAATCTGTGTTAATGTAGGACAATGCTGTGTTTAGTGTAATAGTTCTGATATGCCTTGTAAAATTTGTTTGACAGCGGGAAATCCTGTAGTTGATGGTTGTTGTACAGCATATAATGGCACAGAAACTGACCCAGAAGAATATACCCTAATGAGCATTGATACAATCATCAATGGAAAGGTGAATACTCACATATTCATGTTTACCCTGTCTTTATGGAATACAGCTATGAGTTCTCATTATTATTTTTATTTTTATTCCTAAAGGAAGGTGTATTTCCAGGCTTAATTCCAATCTTAAACTCTTACCTTGAAAACATGGAAGTGGATGTGGATACCCGCTGTACAATCTTAAACTATCTTAAGCTTATTAAGAAAAGGGCTTCCGGTATGTATGCAGTGTTATGTTTTTACGAAACATTCATAGTTAAATGTATTGCCTTTGAACTTTATGCAGCGTTAGTTATCATTGGCAAAGTCCTTATTAAATGTTCAAAATTCCAACGTTTTACTCTGTAAACAAAGAAGAAAAATATGGCTTTGGTGCCATTGGGTATAATGACCATTCAAAGATTAAAAATGGGCCACACTGTGGCCTGTCCCACACCATTTCCCTCTCAGCTGGTCTAGAGTAAAATTTATAATTCATATTTATAGTGCCTTATAAATATTTTGTTTTCCAATAACATGGCTTTATTTTTTTTAAATTTTCATTTTAATTAGGTGAGTTGATGACTGCAGCTAGGTGGATGAGAGAATTTGTGTCAAACCACCCAGAATACAAGCAAGACAGTGTAATCACAGACAAAATAAACTATGACCTTATTGTGAAATGCAACCAAATTGCAAATGAAGTGGCAAACTGCCCAGAATTGCTTGGTTTTACAATCAATAAATTCAAGACAAGTGGAACTAAAAATGTCTCTTCATGATGTGCAAAGTACAGTAGATCACAAAAATGTAGTTTGTAAATGAAACTGCATTGTTTTGGTTTAATGACCAAACTGACACTGCGCTACAATTTAGGCCAAAATGGCTTCATGCAGTGATTTCTTCTTAAAGTAACATATTCCTATTGTCAAAGCTTATACGATGTATATGTAAATAGTAAACTATTTTTATGACTAACCTTGTATCTAGAAAGAGAGAAAAAAATCATTACTGTGAAGTAAACTTTTTATGTATGCTCTTGGGGGTAAATGTTGGGTTTTTTTTTTTCAGTGTGGTAGCAGTTTGTGTAATATTTTTAGCCCTTTTTATTTCATTAATTTGTATATTTTCTAATGAATGTAATACGCAACATTGTACAATACCTAATGCCTCAACTACAAATATACTTGATTATTTTATTTTGTAATTTTTAATTTTGTATGCGTACACAAGTAATCTTGCTAGTTTCTTGGCAAAGAAAGAGTCTGTCACTTATTTATATAATCCCCAAAATGAAGCAGTCAGCTGAAAGACCTATTTGCTGAAGTAAGCATATATGCCCATTGGTGCACTGGTATTGCCGAAGGGAGGTTGGATCTGAATTCCAGTTGTTTTCACAGCATTTTATTCTCACAATTTAGTTTAGACACATTCTGCCTGTTGAAGGCTAAAAACTGCTTAGCCCATCAAATCTTCAGAATTCCTGACTTTCAACAAACGTGGAATGTTAAACTGGCAGGTATTGGCATTGCTGTTGGGGTTCCAAAATTTTGTTTGTTTTAAACACACTAAAGATTCTTTGGGAAACTTTACTTGGCCTTACATTGTTCTCTTTCAGAAAGAAATTTAATGGACTAGTTTGTCCACTGTGTAAATATTGTCTGCAGTAACGCTTCTTCTTTTTTGTGATATGGAAATTTGTATGCTGATTAGGTTCAAGTAACACTCAAAAGTGCTAAAGAGCTGTATATATCTTGACTCTAGGTGTCAGGTGTATGTGATGCGGAAAGTATATTTTTATCAATGCCCTGCACGGTCTTTGGGAAAGGCATGCTTCCTTGTTGCAAGGTTTGCTATACAAATTTACATAGGATGTGTTTTTGAAAACCTGAAATAATGTAGTTAAGTCGTACAACACTGTTTTAATATCTATGTACAGTGAAAAAATTATAGCTGGTACCCTCTGTTGAAAGGATAATAAAATTGAAATGTATTTCAAACTGTTAAATTCTTTCAGATCTACAACTGTTTTATTAACAAGCATATATTTAACTATCAAAGTGTTTTGGCCTAAGTCAAGGCGCAAGGTTTGGGGAAAATATACGTTGAAACCAGTGTTCATTTTGGTGCAAATCTCAATTTAGTTTGTCAGTCTTTTGACTAAAATTACATTTTTAGTTGTATTTTAGTCATCTGAATTGTTTTAGTAGACTAAATTTAAACATTTTAGTTGACTAGAATTGTTGGTCGACAAAACTTAATATTGGTTGAAACCAGTTATTTTCAAGGTATGAGTAAAGCAAATGTTGAAGTGGTAGACTTTTAACGGTTCACCTTTGCACTTTTGGTTTATTAAAGTTATTTTTTTTTTCTGAACACCACAAAGGCATTAATACAGCTTTCACTGTTATGGAGTCGCTCAATGGGTCTTCAATATAAAATATACTACAAATGAGAGCAAATGTACTACAAATTATATATCTCATACAAAGTAATATTTTTAGTTTCTATAAATTATGCACAACACACCGTAGTCATGAAAAATATTGCCATTTAAACTATAAAAAAAAATCCACAAACCATATTCACCTGATTACTTTAAACACTTCAGTTTGAAACCTATTCCAGAGGTTGGCAACCTTCAGCACTCCAGATGTTGTGAAATAAATCTCCCATGAAGCATTTACATAGCATCAGGAGAGGTATAGTCCTCAACATCTAGAGTGCTGTGTTGATTGTCAGATTATCTAAGGGACCTATTATAATATTATGTAATGCATTTGCAAAGTGAGCTAGCACTAATCTTAAATTACAAACCCTTCCATCTAACGGTAACCTGTAGAAAATACAGTGTCTAATATAGAAGGTTAAGAAGATGGCACGTCAGAAGTGTATTGAACTTCTGAAGATATAATACTTATTTCAAGAAGCTCATATTTTTAACTTTTCTTCTCCAATATTAGCAAAAAATAAACCAAACCGAGAACTTCACATTTACCCTTACAAAACCGTAATCATTCAGAAGATTCCGTAGTATAACATTAACAGGAAGCCCCACCTGTCACTTGCCTGATTAACGTTGATGTCCCTCTGCTCTAGTTCAGGCTCTGCCTCCACTTATCTCCTGCCAACAACTATAGCTCTGTCGTTCGCATACCCAAACATCAGTCGAGACTTTATGAAGGGTACAACAGGAATGTTTTATTATGGCCAGGTGACCCACTTTTATACACAGACCACCAGCATGGAGTCTCCATCATAAATATATGTAAAACTCTGTGTTTGGGAGATAAGGTTACTTAAACTAATTATCTCCCAGACACTAGGTACAGTGAATAACACCCCAAAACATATACAATATTAGTAGGAGCCCCCAAATGTTTTATATCCCTGGATCTTTGCGCCTAAAGTGTCCAAATAGCGCTCATATCCCATGAATACAGCTGAATCACCACCAGGGTAAAGTTTTGACCGACCACACACGTGGTCAGTCACTTTTGGGAGTTCCTAAAAAATAAAATACCGAACGGTTCCCCTGGCTCGTAGATAGCGATTCGGTTCGGGTGTACCTTCCCACCGAATTGTCAGGAACAGAAGGTGGCAGCAGTAGAAAGTTACCGGCATTCACGAGTTCCAGTGTCTGGCTTAGAGTTGCAGACATTTCACAACCAAATACTGCTGCCTGCGTTCAGGAGACAAGATGGCTGCCGTTTTCCAGAGCACCTGTCTTTCGGTTATACGAACAGCCACCCAGAGAGAGCAATTAACTTTGTGGTTACTTTGAAGATAATGAGTCTGTGTTCGGTAGATAGAAATACCAAACCAAAGGGAAAATAACGTGGGCTTAGGAAAATAGAGTTTTCAGTTTGTCACACCTTACTTTATTTCTGGACATTTATTTACCATCATATGCCTGGTGGGGATTATGCCACCCATGTGCAGATATTTGAGCGACTTAATGCTCCTATCAAATGTGAGTATAATAATTTAAGGCCATCTGTCTACCAGCTGAAGCTCAACAGAAGATGGGTGTTGCAACATGACCCAAAGCATAGAAGTAAATCAACAGAACGGTTTAAACAGAAGAAAATACGCCTTCTGAAGTGGCCCAATCAGAGTCCTGACCTCAACCCGATTGAGATGCTGTGGCATGACCCTTAAGAAAGTGATTCACACCAGACATCCCAAGAATATTGCTGAACTGAAACTGTTCTGTAAAGAGGAATGGTCAAGAATTACTCCTGACCGTTGTGCACGTCTGATCTGCAACTACAGGAAACGTTTGGTTGAAGTTATTGCTGCCAAAGGAGGTTCAACCAGTTATTAAATCCAAGGGTTCACATACTTTTTCCACCTGCACTGTGAATGTTTACATGGTGTGTTCAATAAAAACATGGCAACATTTCATTCTTTGTGTGTTATTAGTTTAAGCAGACTATGATTGTCTATTGTTGTGACTTAGATGATGATCAGATCACATTTTATGACCAATTTGTGCAGAAATCCATATCATTCCAAAGGGTTCACATACTTTTTCTTGCAACTGTATATCACGAAACAATCAATAGGCAAGTAATAGGCTAATGTAAGGGAGAGGCATCATTTGTGATATTTCTGTATGACTGACTTGCTGAGAAGTTACTCGAAAGTGTGGACCACTGATGTTGAGACTGGACGTTATGGTCCTGCATCTCAGTGTGTAGCTGATTTATGGGGTGCAAAAATACTATTTATAACAACGATTTCTAATACATACGAGAAGGGATTTAATGTGGCATCCGCCTGTGCAGGTGACTGCGTTGTGCAGGCTATAGGCCTAATGCCAGGCTCAGCCTATTCCCCTGGACGTCAAGGGCAGAGTGCTGCCCGGTAAGTCACTATTCATGTCTGCAGACATGGTCCGCCCTTGTGTCCCTCTCCAGGCGCTCATAGAGGTCGCTCCCGGGACGTGAGGACTCTCTCTGGTGGGTGTCTTCGCGCCCTGGGGGCGGCATGAGGGACCAGGATTTTTTCGTTGTTTTGCTCTGTGGCTCTCTATCCGGGAGCGCAGCAGGGGTTGCGGTCTTCCCGACTCTCACACCCGGGTGCTTGTGTGCCCGCTGCTTGCGTTTCCATGCTGCTGCTGCGTGGGGAGTGCGCCTGCAGAACTGATCAGGGGTACCATCGCTTGTGCTATGTGAGTAGCAGCAAGGGCCCGGTCGTTGAGTTTCTTCCAGAATTTTGCACATATTCTGTCAAACGGTTGCAGGAGCGGGTCCACAGTGGTGAGTGACTGTGAGTAGGCGTGTGTTGCTGTAGGCACTGGCGGTGCCGCCATTTTAGGTAGCAGGCTGCCTTCTTTAAGTGCTGCAGCTTCTTGGTGTTGTGCAGGGTAAGCCCCAAGATTACACCAGTGGGGACCGGGATATACCTCACCAGTCCAAAGGGGGACTGGGGGGACAGGGCTTTAAGGTCAGTTCTGTGGATGCCGGCATGTGCAGGCTAGGAGATCGGTTGTTTCTCCTCTCCGTGGAGTATCACAGAAGTCTAGGCCACAAAAGCATTCCAGGCCACGGGGCTATGTGGCGGAGCTCCAAACTTGGTCGCGAGGCTACCCCAGCATACAGGGTCAAGTAGGTACACATTTGAGTGTTCGCATCAGGTATGATCCCACCTTTAAGTAGAGGAATTGAAGCTTTATGTGAGGAACTCACCATGTGCATCTAACCACTATGATGGCCAGGCCCCGCCCCCCTCCTGTGGTGGTTTTAGTCATGTTGCCAGCTACTAATGCCTATACCCAGTTGGGTTGTGTGACAAACTCCCCTTTTTAAGGGAGTTTGCCATGAGTTTTTGGAGGGTCCTACTTTCCCACTGACTTTGGCCCCTGGGGGTATTGCCATTTAAAAACCCTATTTTGACTTATGGGGTTTTAATACACTGTTTCTGCACCTTTAAATCCTATGGGAAAGGATCTGCACTTTTGAAATGGCTCTTCAGGTACAGTCGAAGTGGCCGTCATTCGACATACGAACACGTGGCGGTGGCCATTTTATTAGTCGAACGCGTTCAGTGGTGTTTGGTCGTCGAGTTCATGGAACTCAAATCAGATAAACGACGGCACGAACACCCGCTGAACTTTACATCCTCCAGACTTCGACTGGAGTCTAACACCGTTTGACAATTCGAACGGCACTTTAATATTGACGGTTTGCACGAACGGTTGCCTTTCGTCTATTTGAACTAAATTTAACATGGGAAATAGACTGGCCTCACAGCCTAATTCTCTGGAACTGTTTTGGACATGAAAATGTGCGTGCGGTCGGTCAGATGTGACTTACATCTATCTCCCGAACCCTTGAACCGATTCACATGATTTTTTTTAAATATGTTGTTCCCATAATTATGCCCGTTCAGAAAAATATAAGTTTTATGGGAATTGGATGTTTAATTTTGATGTTATGAGAAATGTTTTAAAAGTGTATTTTTTCGCTTGAACATGCCTTTCTACAACAAATTACATGATTTTCCTTTATATCGTTCATAGTGTTATCACTGTAATATTCTCAACACCATCATGTTATTCCAAGATTTTCTCACATATGTCATATGTTGTTTCACTTTAAAAAAACAAAAAAGAGGCATGTTTAATCTTTCAGTGACTGCGTACAATTGGTTGATGTTACTTTAAAGTGCTATTGAGCTAAATGCTTCCTCGCCAACAAACGTTTTTGCTCATATGATGCCACATTTATGCTTGTATTGACAATGTCATGATTATACTGCTGTAAAACATGTTCCATTTAGGACTCAATAAAAACAAAGATTGACCCCCCCCAATAAATAAATAGCAAAAAGCATCATCCAATTAAAAAAAAAAAAAAAAAAAATCCTTTTATTCTTTCAGAACTGTGAGACTGACGGTTCCTGCACCATTACTGAAAGCATGTATGTACGTCACACAAGAGAGCCTTTCTGCACCATGCAGAACTGGCACGGCTTTTGAAATGTGTGAAAGCACAAGTAGAGACTTATAGTCAGAAATCGGATCAGTGGAGGACACTGTAAATGAGGCAGATGTCAACTCAGATGTCTGTGTTTTAGAGGCCCATTCTGCCCCTAAGGAAGAGCAGCAGGATGCTGGCCCCTTAGCAGCGGGGATCATGATCCCCATCTGCAGGGTAAACCACTCTTTGATCTGGATGAGAGTCATCCAGATTTCATTTTTGGACTCATTTTAGGCTCCCTCTCAGTAAGGCTGCCCGTTGCAAGTTTAGGGCTGAATGTCCTTGCTTGATGGTCCTGATGGTCCTGAATCAGATGTCACACCCCAGACATGGACATTTAAATAGTCCAGTTTTTGTGTGTGTTGTCTGGAATTGGTATTTAATCATGCCAGGATAAACACCTGGATATATATGGGCCCCTTACCAAATTATTTGAGGAGGGCAAAGACTAACCGGTTGACTCTCATACCCAGGGAAGGTGGATCCAGGCAGCAATATGTATTGCAGGCAATGTCAATACTTCCCTGTCTGTTAAATGGCGTAAGTCCATTTTATTCAAGATTGAGCCTAGATTGGCAAATCTAGCCCTCCCAAAGACTGGCAAAAATGCATGGTCCCAGTCCTCTGTGGTGGGTATTCCACACCTGGGTCTCAGCTTCACAGGCTTCTTCCCTCATCGCAATACCTATCATAACTGGCCTGCATCACTTTTTTTTTTTTTTCCACAACATGAGGCCAGCCATGTCTCTAGAGGTTCCAGGGGAGTTCTGGAATCCAGACATGTTGGGGGAAGACTCCATAATTTTTTCCAAGTCTGGAAAGCCGTAACCTTAGATGTGTGGGTTCTTGGCACAGTTCGAGGATACCAAATAGGACTGGTTTGCATGCTTGTTCAGTCTCATCTTCCCCCCGTTTTCTCTCGAAGATCTCATAGAGACAGAACAAAGTGGCAAATTAACAGGCTCCTGTGTTAGGCTTGAGGTTTGGCAGCAACATCTCCCTCGTGAAAAAGAAGGGAGGCCAGATGAGACCAGTGATAAACCTGTGCTCCCTGAACGTGTTGGTCCACTACCATCACTTCATTATGGAGTGCAGCCATTTGTTGCGATACATCCTAAATTGATGGTGAAACAGAATTTGAAGGATGCATACCTAATCGTTCCCATGGACCATGCCTCTCGGGCCTTCCTTTAGTTTTGGTGGAAGGGTCCGCAGTGGCAGGGTTAGTCTAGATATTTATCTGGGACGCACTTTTGCTTCATTATTGTTGGGCAATGGATCTCCAATCCAACATCAGATTCTTGATAAATTGGAAGAATTTCCTTGATTTCCTAAGGAATTGGTCTGATTCCATCCACAAAGATTGAGTTTCTTGGTTTCCTCATGGATGTAGAAGCCGAGTCTATTTGCAAGGAGTTGTGCAATTCTCTAATTTGGCCTCAGATCACTCTCCAGCATTTTCGTTGGTGGATCCACAACATGAACATCTGAAATGGGCGGGCCATATTTCAAACTCAGACGGACTTCACTATAGATCCAGATGCCAGTCTTCATCATCATTATTATTATTATTAATAAAGCAACAAATCCTGCAGCGCTGAACAACTAACAGACACGTATTTGTAGCCGAGACATGTTGGACGCACAAGAACAGAGGGATTGAGAGCCCTGCTCAGTGAGCTTACATGCTAGAGGGAGTGGGGTATAGTGACACAAAAGGTAACGATAGGGTAGAAAAGTAGGTTGTTAGGACAGTATTCATTGACTGCTTAATGTTTTGTTTTGATAAACGTTGCAGGAGAGGAATCCGGGTGCAGGGATGGAAAGCTGTTCAGTTTAATATGCTTTCCTAAAGAACTAAGTTTTCAAAGATTTTATTTGAAGGAGCGGAGATTGAGACAGCTTTTTTGACTACTTCTTCTTTTTTTTTTTTTTTATAAATTCTTTATTTTTCAGGTTTAGGTGAGGTAAAGGGTACAGAATAAAGGTAGGGGTAGGGTAGTAGTGTCATTCAATAGCTTTACAGTTTTGTTTCGACTCAATGGCATTGGTACGATTTATTGCGAAACCTCAGAACAGTCTTCTAGGTTAAGTGGTACAGTTTTCTATGTCTCAGGTGGAGGTTGTCACTTGGCTTCGGGTCCTGTTGTTTTTGTCTCTGAGAGCGTATGTGGCTCTTCCTGTGTTGTGTTTGTCAGGTTTTGTCTCTTTCGGTTCTGTTTGGGTCTGGGGTTTGGGTTGGTGTGTCTGTTTTGAGTGCGGGTAGGGTCCGTGTGGGAGTTTGGTGGTCTCAGCCCATGGGTGGTCGCCTCATATAGGCTGTAGATGTGGAGGGTTTCCAGTGTGATGAGATCTGGGTCTACGCCTAGTGTTGGCTACTTCTTCTTTACAAGAATACAACCAACATACGATATCTTATAGGCAACCTTCCTGTCCTCCGCTTTTTTTTTTTTTCATTACCAGCCCCCATTCTTAGTAGTCTTTAGTATGGCTCTGGCCTGCTGGGATAAATGGATCATGTCCCAGCAGGTGTACAGAAAGGGGAAAGGGCGTTCCATAGGAACAGTGCAGCCCTAGAGAAGTCTTTAAGGCGAGCATCAGATGGAGTGTGAACAGATGTTAGAAGTATGTCTCTGGCGGAGCATAGGGGTCTAGATGGGACATATTTGTGTATTAGTGAGGATATGTAAATCGGAGCAGCATTGTGTAAAGATTTGTAAGCAAGTATCAGGATCTTTTATTGCGTCCTATATCTTATGGGAAGCCAATGTAGGGACTGACAGGGGGGAGTTGTGGGCGGACAGGAAGATGAACCTCGCCGCCGCATTCATTATAGACTGTAATGGGGCAAGTTGGGAACACGTAAGACCACTGAGAACCTGATTGCAGTAGTCAAGGCGAGAGGACAGTGGCATAGACAAGCACCTTTGCCGTATCAGGCGTTAAATAGGGTCGGATGCGCGCTATGTTTTTGAGATGGAAGCGGCAGTATTTGGCGATTGATTGGACATGAGGCGTGAAGAAGAGGTCAGAGTCAAAGAGAACACCTTCATGATTTGGTTGCCCAATATGCTGGTCTTACGGCCTGAGGAGATTGGGCATCGGGCGAGAGGCAACTGCACATCAACTGTCTGCATCTTCGCGTGGACAATGCATCAGCAGTCCAATATGTCATTTTTCTTAGGAAATTTTTGTTTGGAGTGGAATATCTTTGTTTAGGTAGAATAAATCCCTGACCTCTGCAGCACTCGAGCGGATAGAAATTCAAGATTTTTTCAGACAACAGTAACTGGAGGCCATGGTCTCTTCTTCGATTGTGCCTCTTTGGGGCCCTTCCCAGATAGACCTCTTTGTGTCAAGACTCAATGCAAAACTGCCCTGTTTCTCCAGCTGGTGTCTGGACCCAGAGGCGGTGCATACATTGCTCTAGGATTGGAGCATGTTACCCATTACGCATTTCCCCTGTTCTCGATGATTACGCACACACTGCTGTAGGTTTGTCGACAGCTGGCAACAATGGTGTTTTGGAAGGTGTGCAGTCTTGTTTTCCTCAACTTCTGGATCAGTTGGTGGACTGCACCAGGCTACCCCAACATCTCCCCTTCTTCTTCAGGATCCGGATGGCCGTCCTTATCAGCTTCTCTTGATTGGAGGCTCTAGAACTTCTGGCATGCCTGATTTCCATGGACATTAGGAGATCCATAGAGTTTTGGATGCAACTAAACTAAGGCACATGGGCTCCCAGTTCTCAAACATCGTACAAACTGCTTGGCAAGCTTGAACTGGCTCTGATCTTGGATCCCGTTTTTACCCCATGACTTTTTGTCCTGTATGAGAATGTGTACCAGAGGGTGAATTTGTACAGGTCTGCAATTTCTTAGACTTAATGCAGTTTTGATTTACGAGCTACTAAATGGTGCTCAGCTTTCTCTTCTTCCCAGACCTTGCTATTCGGCAATGCTGGGTCTTCTGTATGTTTGTCTCTTTTCAACTTCCGGTCCTATAATTCAAAACTTTTGATGCAGCAAGTTTCAGCTTAGCTTGTCACCGTCTTTTGCCTTATTTCGTGCAAAAGGTTGTGGTTGTTCAGGGCGCCAAGACTATATGGTTTGCTCTTTAACCCTCGATGGGCTGGTGGTTGACATATGTCAGCATACCAAGACTTCCATCTGATCTGTCACTAATCCAGCTTTTTTGGCTACTTCTTCCTTACAAGAATACAACCAACGTACAATATTTTATAGGCAACCTTCCTGTCCTTCACTTTTTTTTTTTCCTGCCAGCCCCCATTCTTAGTAGTCTCTAGTATGGCACTGGCCTGCTGGGATAAATGGATCATGTCCCAGTAGGTGTAAATACTGCTACTTTTAAGGTGCATTCATTTATATAAGCGGCTGCGGCTGCTTTGCTTGGTGGACATCAGGGGGATTTGATGCATATTACTGGCTGGTCTGGGAGTTTTTTTTCCTTTTTCTTTTAAACCAATTCAACAATTCTTTTAATAAAATAACGATTTTACTATTTCATGACAGAAAGTCATGATATTATAAGACACAGGGATGTGTATTGTCCCTCCCTGCAATGCATTCACTTTCCACATTTGTACTTCCTGCATTTCTTTTTTTTTTTTTACTTGGATGTTTTTTAGTCACAGGTCTCTCTCTGACTATGGTGAATACACTGGTTGTGTGGGGATGGCTACATTTGTCCAGCTTCATTGTTTGTTCATTTTGTTTGTTTTCATTTGCATGATTAATCGTGGTTATGCTGTTAAAGGAAAATAGGTAGAAATTTAATAAAATCAGAGGCAATGATCCCATCTCACATAGGCTGATATGTTTATATTAGTTATATAGGTTCTCAAAAGGCAACAAAGGTCCAGCAAACCAATCTGGCAAACTAGATCGGGCAAGCCCTATACTGACCCTGTAACTTTCCAAAACACCATAAAACCTGTATGTGGGGGTATTGTTACCCCATTTGGAATACCCTGGGTTGTCTACATTTGAAAATGGTATGCCATGATGGGGTTATTTCACAGTCCTGGGCTATCATATGGTCTCAAAAGGCAACAAAGGTCTAGCAAACTAGAGCGGGCAAGCCCTATATTGACCCTGTAACTTTCCAAAACACCATAAAACCTGTACATGGGGGGTATTGTTATACTCGGGAGACTTCGTTGAACACAAATATGAGTGTTCTAAATCAGTAAAACGTATTCCGACATTGAAATCACAAGTAAAAGTGCAGTTTTTGTGTAAAAAAAAAAGAAAAATGCTAACTTTGGCCAGCGTTTGTGACTAAGTGGCTACTACAAAAGACTGGACATACACTATTTTGAATACCCTGGGTTGTCTACTTTTACAAATGGTATGCCATGATGGGGTTAATTTTAATTCCTGGGCTGCTATATGGTCTCAAAGGCAGCATAGGCCCAGCAAACCAATCTGGCAAATTTCAATGTGCAAACATGGAAAAGGGGAAAGCCCTACATTTGACCCCTGTAGGTTTGCAAAAGCCCATAAAACCTGAATACTGGGTGCACGGTTGTACTCAGGAGATGTTGCTGAACTCATATTGGGGGTTTCTTTGTCAGTAACACATAAACGGAACTAAAAATCAATGCCTAAAGTACAATGTGAGGGAAAAATAACACAAAAAAAAAGACTATTCAAAAGTTTGACAAAGACTGGTGGTAGAATCCCACCATTTAAAATACCCTAGGGCAGCGTTTCCCAATTAGTGTGTTCCGCGGAACACTAATTGGGGTTTCTGCCCAAAAAATTGGAAGAAAAATGTCCGCAGGCGGCGAGGGAGCAGTGAGCTCTGATCTCCCCGCTCGGCATCACTGCTGTGCGCGCGAGGGAGCCGAGCAGGTTGATCAGAGCTCACTGCTCCCTTGCCGCCTGCGGCCATTTTTCTTCAAATTGGGAAACGCTGCCCTAGGGTATTTTAAATGGTGGTATTTTAACTTTCCTTGCACTAATATATAATATGACGTCACTCCGACTCCGGCATTACTAGGAGGGAGCAAAGGAGATCAGAGCTCACTGCTCCCTCGCCGCCCGCAGCCACCGCTCACCTGTCTGCCAGACCTCCAGACCGCCAAGCTGCAGCAAGCCCCACTGGACCCCAGGGACACCATGCCAGCACTCCTAAAGGTAGGGGGACTGGGTGGAGTAAAATGTAAAAAAAAAAAAAAAGTTGTATGTGTGTTTGTCAGTGAGAGTGAATATGTGCTTGTCAGTGAGTATATGTCTTTGGCAGTGAGAATGTATCTGTTCTTGTCAATGAGAGTGTATATGTGTTTGTATTTGTGTCTGTAAAAGAGTGTGTGTTTGTCAGTGAGAGTGTGTGTTTATCTAAGTGTGTGTATGTGCCTGTTTGTGTCAGTGTGTGTATGTCTGTGTGTGTGTGTGTATTTGTGAGTCAAGGTGTGTGTATCTGTGTGCCAGTGTGTGTATATATGTGTGTCAGATACATATACACACTGACACAGAGATACACACACTGGCACATACAAACACAGATATACACACCGGCACATGCAAATACAGATACACACACACACTGACACACAGATACATGCAAATACAGATACACACTGGCAGATAGTGGCACACAGATACACACACCTTGACACACAGCGTGTATCTGTGTGTCAGATTCATACACACCTTGACACACAGATAGATACATACACACACACACACAAAGATACACACTGTGTGTCAAGGTGTGTATCTGTCAGTGTGTGTATCTGTGTGTCAGATTCATACACACTGGCACATAAAAACACACACTGTGTGTGTATCTGTGTGTCAGATATACAACTGGCACATACAAGCACAGATATACACACCTTGACACACACCGGCACACCGGGGGGGGGAGGTTCCACGATGTTGATACACTATGTCAAAGAGTTGCACAGGAAACAAATTGGGAAACCCTGCCCTAGGGTGTCTACTTTTCAAAAATATATGGTTTGATGCTGGTAAATTATATTGTCCAGCTTCAAAAATGTCCCAAATAGGACATTTGTGCGTGATGACTGAAAATTCCAAGTTGGAAAACTGGAATGCGCACCCTCCAAATAAGCCCCCAGAGAACCTGACACACCTATACATGGGTGGTATCACTGTACTCAGAAGATGTTGCTGAACACATATTGGGGTGTTCTTTGGCAGTAATACCTAACAGGAGCTGAGAATCCATGCCTAAAGTAGAATAAGTGTGAAAAATAACACAAAAAAATGACTACCCAAACGTTTGACAGAGACTGGTGGTAGAATTAGTGCATGGAAAGTGTTAAATACCACCATTTGAAATATCCTAGGGTGTCTACTTTTCAAAAATGTATGGTTTGATGGGGGTAAATTATATTGTCCGTCTTCAAAAGTGTCCCAAATGAGACATGAGTGCATGATGACTTACTGTGAAAATTCCAAGTTGGAAAACTGATGATGCTGAACACATATTGGGGTGTTCTTTGGCAGTAAACCTTAAAGTTCTCAGTACATATATTCTTAAATTGCTATGTGTCTCAAACAAATCACCAATTATTATTATTATTTTTTAATTTGGCATAGATTGGTGGTAAAATGGCTGCATGAAAAGATTCAAAATACCCCAGGTTTAAGTATTTTAAGTTGTCTTCTTTTAAAAAATATATACATGTGAACAGTGGTGTATCCTGGTTTTGTGCTGCCCTAGGCAGGACAAAACTCAGGCCCCCCCCGCGCGCCAGCCCCCCCAACCCTTCCCCCCGCCCCGCCTTCTAAATACACACACATTCACTGACAGATACACATACACTCGCTAACAGAAACACACACTAACAGACACTCACACTCACTAGCAGACACACACACACACTCACAGGCAAACACACACTCACTGACACACAGTCAGACACACACATACACACTAACAGACACACACTCACTCACTAGCAGACACACACTCACTAACACACACACTAACAGACACACACATTCAGACACACACATACACACTAACGGACACACTCACTCACTAGCAGACACACACTAACAGACACACACTAACAGACACACACTAACAGACGCACACAGACACTCACACACACCCCCACACAGTCAGGCACACACACACTAACAAAACACACACATTAACAGACACACTCACAGACATATACACACACTCACATTAACACATTTGTATTTTATTTTTATTTACCTTCCCCCCTACCCCGCCTTACCTTTGGGAATGCTAGGGGTGGGCGGGGGGGTTCCCTCTCTGCCTGGTGGTCCAGTGGCGGCTGGGCGGGCGGCTGACGAGGGAGCTCTTCCTCTGAGCGGTCTGCTCAGCTCCCTCGAGCGCCGCACAGTGAGGCTGGGAGCCGGAAGATGACGTCATATTTCGGCTCCCAGCCTCACTGTGCGGCGCGCGAGGGAGCTGAGCAGACCGCTCAGAGGAAGAGCTCCCTCGCCAGCCACCCGCCCAGCGCCGCCCGCCAGCCCAGCGCCCTGCATGTCTGTTAGCCTTGTTTGCCTCGTGGCTAATACGCCCCTGCATGTGAAGGGTTATTCGGGGATTCCTGACAGATATCAGTGTTACAATGTAACTTGCATTAATTTTGAAAATTGGTTTGGAAATAGCAAAGTGCTACTTGTGCTTATAGCCCTATAACTTTCCAAAAAAAGCTAAGAACATGCTAACATTGGGCATTTCTAAACTCTGGACAAAATTTAGAAACTATTTAGCACAGGTGTTTTTTGGCAGTTGTAGATGCGTCACAAGTTTTGGGGGTCAAAGTTAGAAAAGGTGTGTTTTTTTTCAATTTTTTTCATCATATTTTATAATTTTTTATAGTAAATTATATGATATGATGAAAATAATTGTATCTTTAGAAAGACCATTTAATGGCGCGAAAAACAGTATATAATATGTGTGGGTACAGTAAATGAGTAAGAGGAAAATTACAGCTAAACACAAACACCACAGAAATGTAAAGAGCCCTGGTCCCAATGGTAAGAAAATTGAAAAATGGCCTGGTCACTAAGGGGTTAAAGGGAGTGCTCCTAATCTTAGCTCGTTACCTGTATAAAAGACCCCTGTCCACAGAAGCAATCAATCAATCAGATTCCAAACATTCCACCATGGCCAAGACTAAAGAGCTGTCCAATGATGTCAGGGACAAGATTGTAGACCTACACAAGGCTGAAATGGGCTACAAGACCATCACCAAGCAGCTTGGTGAGAAGGTGACAACAGTTGGTGTGATTATTCGCAAATGGAAGAAACACAAAATAACTGTCAGTCTCCCTTGGTCTGATGCTCCATGCAAGAACTCACCTTGTGGAGTTTCAATGATCATGAGAATGGTGAGCAATCATCCCAGAACTACACGGGAGGATCTTGTTATTGATCTCAAGGCAGCTGAGACCAAAGTCACTAAGAAAACAATTGGTAACACACTACGCCGTGAAGGTCTGAAATCCTGCAGCACCTGCAAGGTCCCCCTGCTCAAGAAAGCACATGTACAGGCCTGTCTGAAGTTTGCCAATGAACATCTGAATGATTCAGAGGAGAACTGGGTGAAAGTGTTGTGGTCAGATGAGACCAAAATCAAGCTCTTTGGCATCAAATCAACTCGCCGTGTTTGAAGGAGGAGGAATCCTGCCTATGCTTTGGGGGTGTTTCTCTGCTAAGGGGACAGGACAACTGCACCGTGTCAAAGGGACCATGAATGGTCAAATATTAGGAGAACCTCCTTCCCTCAGTCAGGGCATTGAAAATGAGTCGTGGATGGGTATTCCAGCATGACAATGACCTAGAACAAACAGCCAAGGCAACAAAGGAGTGGCTGAAGAAGAAGCACATTAAGGTCCTGGTGAACCCTAACCAGTCTCCAGACCATAATTCCATAGAAAATCTGTGGAGGGAGCTGAAGGTTCGAGTTGCCAACATCAGTCTCGAAAACCTTAATGACTTGGAGAGGATCTGCAAAGAGGAGTGGGACAAAATCCCACAAAAGTATATGTAAAAAATACATAAAATCTGGCCCCAACTTTGACAGAACACTAGATCCCTCTGCCATATTCATACACATCCGGTCAGACTGTTTTAAAATCCGACCAGTAGGCTCCTGCTCCACTACCTGCACAAAGCAGTGATGTCATTAGCCATCACCCTGTGTGTTCTGCCTGGACCAAATTCTGATCGCATTGGCAATTCTCAGATTTACTAAAGCCAAATGAGTTTCGAATTTAATCGGTCTGACCAATTCTCTAACATTGGTTCAGATGAGGAAATCATTGATTTTCCGACCTTATCCAAACCAATCTACAGCACCGGTATTGCAAATTATCAGCCACTTGCTATTTGCAAGTGAATTCACATTTGAAGAACTTTTTGGCTGCTGACAGTGCTAGCAGTCAGCAGACAAATAGTTGAAAACCCTCAGCAGCTTAATGAAGTGGTCTGGGTGCCAGGTCCACCTAGGATTAACCCTTTCTGCTGTAAACATAGCAGTTTCAGAGAAACTGCTATGTTTACTTTAGGGTTAATTCAGCCTCTAGTGGCTGTCTCATTGACAGCCACTAGAGGCGCTTCTCACTGTGATTTTCACAGTGAGAAGACGCCAGCATGCTTTCCTATGGACTGGCTGAATGCGCGCGCGGCTCTTGCTGCGCATGCGCATTCAGCCGATGACGGGAAAGGAGGAAGAGAGTCTCCAGCACCGAGGGAGCCAGGCGCTGGAGAAAGGTAAGTGTTTAACCCCTTCCTCTCCATCCAGCACGGCGGGAGTGGGACCCTGAGGGTGGGGGCACCCTCAGGGCACTATAGTGCAAGGAAAACTAGTATGTTTTCCTGGCGCTATAGTGGTCCTTTAATGAATTAATAGTGACTATATAAATAGTTATGATTTGTATTTACTCAAGCCAATGTTACCAATTTCTGAAAGGGTTGTGCATTGCATTGTTATATTGTAATCTGTGTTATTATTTAATGATCCAACATATTGCAAGAACCTACAATAACAAATCTACACACTGGAGTTTGCTTGAAAGTAGGCTATTTAAAGTAGTCTTTTTTAAGTAGGAGTTAAAACAACAGGAGTTTGTTGGTGAACTGGTGGACTGTGGTTGGTATTAGTTAATACCAAGTGGAAAAGAAAAGCAGGTTTAAATTTTTGTATTTTTTTGTATTTTGTGTTTTTTTTGTTTGTTTTTTTACTTTGACCCTTTTTAAAAAAAAATGATTTCTCCTTATTTTAATATTTTGTAACTTTTTTTCCCCTTTTCATATATATATATATATATATATATATATTTTTTTTTTTATTTTTTTTTCTCTTTGCTGGATATATTTAACATAGAGAAATGCAAAGTTATGCACTTCGGGGTTAAGAATGCACAAGCAACTTACACACTAAACGCGTGACGTGCGTTCCAAACGTCGATATTTTACTTCCGGGTTTCATTGGAACGGAGCGCACGCATGCCCCACGTACCGGCGCTCACATCTGTGTTCCGCCGGAGTGTAACGCACGTGCGCTCCAGTCGCATTCTGCGTCCGACGTCTTCTCTATAGACCTCCGGTTTCCTCTGTCGGAATGCATGCGAGCTCCGAATCGGCTCATCAGCCAATGTGCTCTCTATTTCTGTGGAACACACATGCGTTCCAAGTACCTTCCATCCGGATATATATTGGGGAAAACATTTAAATCCATATATTTTGCTGTATAAAGTAGATATTTGTGAATAAAAATTTTTTTAGTTAAAAATCCACATATTGCATGTATATGAGAATAAAAAATTATTTTAAAAAACAGGCTTGTTCCATTATAATAGAAGTAGGAGACAGACTTAAAGTGATAAAGCATAAGCAATCTAAAAAGTCTAAGCTTTAGTTAAAATAATATAGAAAACTATTTGTACAATAAAATGTTTGGTACAGATATATTAAATCGATTTGGGCATAAGCTAAAACCTTTTCAGATAACTTTTTCCCCAATATATATCCGGATGGAAGTTAGTTGGAACGCATGTGCGTTCCACAGAAATAGAGAGCCCATTGGCTGATGAGCCGATTCGGAGCGCGCATGCGTTCCGACAGAGGAAACCAGAGGTCTATAGAGATGACGTCGGACGCAGAATGTGACAAGATCCTGGCTGCAAAAGGGTCTGGACAACCCCTGAATGGTCCAAGGAAGCATACTAAGAGAGTCATTTGATGGTATGACTCCAACTTTGTGAGTGAAACCACTATTTACTCTTTGTATTGTATACTATAGAATAGACATACTACGCTATTTTGTATATATACCATTGTGTTTTACAGATTATTCAAGGTTTAAGCAGCTCCACCTATTGCTTTGTATGTATCTTTATGTATTTATGGTGGTGTAGGGGATATCACATATTAGGTGTATTTAGAGCTGCTCACTTTTCTTCTTTCTCCCACTGTATGTACAATTTCTTTTCACTGAATTATTGCCTATATTAACCTTTCAAATACTTTTTATAAACTATAATTGCACACACTTATGACATTCAATGGTTAATGTTCTTTGATCTCTTTTGCAAAACACAGCGTGCACTTTCTACTTATTTCATGCAAATAATTTGTCTGGTACATTTGTTTTTGTACTGCAGCCAATGTATGATCAAATGCTATAAAACTGGTATGCCAGCTGAACTCTATTCTATCTGATTTTTGAATTTATGCTAACATAATCTATCTACAATAGTGATGGTGCGCAACAATAAATATAACACTCACTATGGTTGTCTTTAAAAATAAGAACCTCTACAGAGAAACAATATGCATCCGTGTTACAGACTTAGGTGCATACTAGGTGTATTAATATTAATAACTGGTGCAAACAGTGATTTTTGTGACCAAACAGAAGTAACAAATAAATATACTTGCAACAATAGACACTTTGGTATCTATACAGGAGACAAAAAACAAGAGAGGGCTCTACGTACAGCACAATTAAACATATAAATACACAAAAAGTAGCTCATAAGGTATTTCACTCACAAACGGCCTATGTGGAGGAGTATTCTCTCTAAGGGTCACGTGAAGATGGCTTTCTGTATGTAAAGAAAGAAACAAATAATAGTGCAAATACATCTGATATGCAGGAAGAAGAGATCTATGGTAATCCTACTCACGTGTAGTAGAGCTGAACTAGCTCTAGTGTGGATGGCATACAGCGGTACAATCCCAGCTTATAGGATACGTAGAGAAGTATTGGTCTTTTACTCCTTATGTGGAAGAGATAGACAGATGATAGGGCAGTACGTCTGGTAAAGATGGTATATATAACAACAGAGTCGAATACAGTCCTACTCACGTTTAGTAGAGCTTAAGCCAGCTCTAGTATGAATAGCGTACAGCGGTATAATCCCCGCTTGTAGGATATGTGTAGAGGGTTAAGTCTTTTGCCGATATGTAGATCATAAGGGAAAAGAGAGACAACTAATAGTGCTCGCTGTATAAAATCTTATATAAGGAGTATAAATAATAATATGTGTACTCACATAGGATTGAGCAGGCGGACTGATGTTAAAACGAGGGTTATAAATAGGGTAAAAGTTATATTTTATAGAGAATCTATGGGGCATTGCCAAGAGAAAGATGAGAGACATGAGACCGAACAATGCAGAAGAGCTGAAGGCCACTATTGAAGCATCTTGGTCTTCCATAACACCTCAGCAGTGCCACAGGCTGATAGCTTCCATGCCACGCCGCATTGAGGCAGTAATTGCTCCAAAAGGGGCCCAAACCAAGTACTGAGTCCATATGCATGCTTATACTTTTCTGAGGTCCGATATTGTTCTATGTACACTGTTTTACTGATTGCATGTTATATTCTAATTTACTGAGATTGTGGATTTGGGGTTTTCATGAGCTGTAAGCCATAATCATCTCACTTATGACAAATCACTGCTTGAACTATCTTGCTTTGCATGTAATGCGTCTATCTCATATATTAGTTTCCCCTTTTACGCTGCATTACTGAAATAAATTAACTTTTGCACGATATTCTAATTTTTCGAGCATCACCTGTATATAAAGAGACCTCCTTTGGATTTCTTATCCCTGGCTGTTCCTGCTGACCATCTGAATTCACTTCCTGACTCCGGATCTGTGACGCGTTTCGCCCTTCCCTGGGGGCTTTGTCAAACGGCTTGTGTGTCCTCCCACTTCCCTCCGCTATATATGCAAGGGTTTATGATCACATTTGCTAGAAAATCCTTCTGCACAGTCTTTCATCTCTTCCTTAATGATTAAACAGCATCACTAATCCCAATGCTAAATAACTTACATCTAGATCAGAAAAATACCAGAAGCACGATGGTAATTTCTGATAAAAGGCAGTGCAGGGGTGTCAATATTTAAGTGCAAAAAAAAATTATATATCTCATGAATAGATATCACTAAGAGTCTATAGACAGTAAAAATATAAAAACATTAATAAAAGTAGGAAATAAATATAAAGTAAGTCCCTATTAAGAATACACATGGAATAAAAAAATCAATTAAAAATAGAACATCTAAGTCTGAGGAAAAAGAAACGTAATTCATAAACATACATATCTAGGGGTTATATGCAGAACAATACATCTATTATATACATAAAATGTGTCATATATAGCAATCCTTTAAAAATCTGAATAGCGGTGGATTGTCTAAATCAAATCTTAATGAATAACGTAATTTGTAAGCAGCATGCAGGCGATAAAATTATTTATAAACTGTATCACATATCAGAGGTAATAAACAAAAAATATAACCTTAAAAAACATATCATGGGGGGCGGAACCAAGCTGCCATGCTGAGAGGTCGCACATGAGACAAGCTCCGTACAAAAACGCTCTTAATCAGCCCAAATTTGGGCAAAAATCCACCAAATCGACGATTAGATGACCTAGGGAAGCGAGCACTTAAAAGCAGAACCCAGCGACAACTATCCCGACCGAAATCGGAGGCATCTAACCGGGGATAAACCCGAGGCCTACTCGGACAAAGCGAGGGAGAAGCCTGATATCCACGCCGTCTGCAGCCCTTCACTCGGAGGTCTCCCCGCTACACTCCGCCCCCCCCCCCGCCGGTGAGGGATATCCCGGTATTTCAAGCCTGAGACACATCGGCAAAACCAAAGCGGGAACTGTCCCACAAGGCCGGCACAGCTCCAGCAACCACCAGGCCACTAGGACGCAGCTAAGATGGCCGCCTAGCGAGGACCCCAAAAGCGTAGCACATACGCCCAACCATCCACGCACCCCCTGGGGGAATTTGACCGGCTTTGCGAGAGCCTCTGGACTATGCTGCGCGAACGCGGAATGGCTTACCGCCGGCTACATGGATTCGTCCAGTGACCCGCCGGCGCCATTATAGACACCCACCACAGGCATCCGGGAAGGCCGCCAGGCTACGTAAACACCGCCACTCTCATGGGCGGGAAACAACACCATGTTACATGGGCGACCGCACCTGCCCCCACATTAAGGAGACAAAGATCATTAAACCAGCCTTCCACGCCAGCTACTCACCTGACCCGAGGACCTGCGCTCGGCGGAGCTTGACCCAGTCCCTCCAAGCTACAACCGCAAACCGGGGAGATGCACAGCTAAACACTCCACTGCATGCTGCTGGAGCGGAGTCCCAGTCCAGGGGCTTCGAGGAGTCAAACGTCGACGGCAAGAGACACGTTCATGCAACGGGCATCGGCTAAAGGCCTACCTCTGTGCCCCTCAAGTGGACATGCCTCACCTGCATCTGGAGGGCGCGCTTACAACCATTGATGCGTGGACTACCCGCATCAAGTAACCACAACATTTTTCTTTAGTTGCTACCATATGGACAGAACTTTACCAGTGACTCTTTACTTTAATAGCTAATGCCAGCTTGACTCTTATTTACACATATATAGCATTAAACATAGTGAGCCATGTAGAGATGGCTCCATACCTACGAAACATAAGCATGACAAGCAACGTTTTATTATCGTGTTTTACCCCTCATGCCTAGCCAGCCTCTCTGAGCTACCAAAACAAGTTCTATAGCTTAGACATGAGTAACTAGCCTTTATACCATGGTTATCTCCTTGAGGCTTGTCGTATTTTCACCCAGTATAGCACATTTAAAATTACATCAACATAATG